CCAAAAAAAAGTTTTATAAATTATGTATATATTATAATAAATATTTATTTAAGAACACACAATTAAACATTCAAATTCAGTATGTATCTGTTTCCATAAATTTAAATAATACAATTTATAAAATTTGAATTATTTTGTTTTTAATTTTCTTAAACTTTTTTAAATGTTTGAATTTATTCAAGCTAAGAATAACCATCAAAACAACGAAAATAAAATAAGAATTTCTATATTTTCTACCATTTTCTCAAAGTGCAAATGGAGGATGCACACACGTGCTGCATGATCATGTGATTTATGACCGCACTACCCCCAAAACGATAATAACAACTAGGGATTGTCATAAAGATACGTATTCATGTATGCAAAAGAAGAAAGCTAACCTTTAACCGTGGCCGGGGCTATTTTGAATGTTTCAAGAAATACGGTTTCTGGCTTTATCTGCCCCTTTTCATTTTTGCGACATGGCCGGCTGGTCAACGAAACTGAAATATTTCGGTACTTTTGCTTTCCGACTTTAATTGAGTAGCGGAGTATGGTGATGGTCGGCGGAATGAGCGATCTCCACTGGGCACGCACAGTGCGCGTCATAGATATAGTCTCTAGATATTAGAAGCTCACACACACACCAGCTCACATATACCTGTTAATTAGGTTCTGCCTTCGGCGTGTAGTTCTATTTTATTTATAAGCTCAACTCGACTTGATCTCGGTTCGTCTTGGATCGGACTATTTGGGGTCATTCAACCTTCGATCAATCACTCGGCTGGCTTACTTCTTTTGTTTACAGTCGCACAACATTCTCAACTCTCTTTTCTACACATTCCCAAACTCCGATATGCATAGCTAACCTATCTTTCTATATATCGGTGTATATCTTTTAATAGTCATTATGCGCATTACGCTTCTCGTGGCTAATTAACAGCGCACAAAAATGCGAAAAGCTTTTCAATGCCTTTTTCGCAGTTGTCTTTGTCCAATTTGCCAAGCTTAGAAATGCAAATTACCAAAAAAAATAAAATACAAAATAGAAACGGACAAAGAGCTATGTGAGTGATGGGCAGTGAAGGGAAGTTCTTTGTTCGGATCCGGTTGGGATTCTCCATCTGAATAGAAGCGGCAAAGAGGCATCTGCAAAATGTCTAATTAAATGTGCCGAATTTAATGATGATAACCTGGCTTAGACTTTGGCTGCAGTGCAATTTTAGCTGGCTTTGGCTTTTGGATTTTGGCCAACCGGTCAAGGTGAAAGTTTCGCCACCTGCCACGATGCCTTGACAGATTACCCTCCCCCTGAGCTCTTGATCTTGAGTTGCCACCATTTTTGACAAATTAATTGTGCGGCTAAGCGGCCATTAAATATGGCCAACAAAATTGCACTGGTTATTGGCCCCAAACCGACATCGAAATCGAAATCCCACTGTGGCCCACTGCGAATGCAGCAATTTGCATGCTCAGCTTTTCCACTCAACTGGAAACTCCGATGCTGCTTCTGCTGCTGCTGCTGCATTTGCTGCAGCAATGTCAATGCTTGAGTAAATTGACTTCAACTTCATTTGCGACATCCAAACGAACGGAGTGAGATGCCACCAAAAGTTTTCTGCTCCATTGAAGCATTCGATTGCACTCCACTCGAAACTGCGAGCCGTAGAAAGTTTCAGTTGCTGTTCAACTTGAAGTTGCAGTGGCAATGACGCAGTCAGGAGAAAGATGGAGATAGCACCAACTCATCTGCATTTGAATTGCATTGGGGCCCGGGCTCTGGTCACTTAACGGTTAGAAAAGAACGGAAACTGGTTTGGATCCCAAAAAAAAAATCGGGAAAGAAAAGGTGTCATAAGCGGCTGATTATGGGGCACGGCCTCAGCTTATGTGGAAATCTATAAAGCGGTTTCCTCAAGCAAGACAATCTTATGAGATAAAGTTCCTCTAAATCATTGACCAAGTCTATAAGCCCCCTTCGGAACTACGCCCCTGGCTGTCGAGGATGGCCTGCTGAGTGAGTTTTAGAACCGGTTAACCGCTTTCTGATGACACTTACAGTTATAGCCAAATAAAAGCCGGCGAGAATTGGTCGGTGTCTGTGACTTATGTAAAATGTTTGGTTTAGTAAGCGAATAGAATGCAGGAATTCCACAGGGCCAGAAACCGTTAAATCATCCAGGGAATTTGATAACTACCTTCGGAACACATCTTCAGTAGCTGACCCAACCCAAAATCATTTCTCTGTTCATTCATAAAAGAATTCTATTAATACCACATTTTATCAACTTATTTATGGTATGATTTTTGGCGAAGAAGAAAAACAAAAGTTCAAGTTCATAACTTCTGAATAAAGTATTGATTTTCTGACAAAGTTTATCTCTAAAATATGCATAACATGGGGTTTTGCTAAGAGCAATATTCATAACAATTTCAACAGCTTTTTGACAACAAAAACTTTTATTAGCCCAAAGAAAGCTGTTAAAGAACTGTCGTAAATCTCAAGTATCTTTTCAGTTACTTTAAGGCTTGTAAAAATCATTGATATGGGACATCAACAAAATCTAGAGTTCAACAGCTTGTTATGAAAATTATTTTAGACAAAGGACCTCTGTTGGTCTAGTCTTTCTCCAGTTGAATACTTTATAACGAAAGCTGGGTTAGCTTATTATTTTGGCTTTAATCTTATCTGAAACTTGTTTCATCACCCGCCAAGTGACCTTTAATGGCATCAGCGCCACCATCTCCATCGGCCATTAGCAACCAGATCTGCGAACAAGGCGTTAACCCGGCGTGGGCACGAAGCCATGTCATCCGCATCTCCATCTCCAGCCCATCTCTTCATCATCGTCATTTCTTCATCTCTTCGCCGGCGGAGATGTCGCCAGTAGTTGTCGTCCCAACGATGAATGACAATTTGCAAATGGCTCTGGGTGCATAATTTATGCAGATGCAACTGCTGCAGCCGGAGCAACTGGAGCTGCAACTGCAAAACTGGCGGCATTTAGCGCGTTGACTATTAAGGCGAACTTGTTGTTGGGACAGCTGGCCAAAGGGGGAAAAGGGGGATTCCGGGGGACAGTGGACCCACAGGCAGTCGCTTCGCCCATGCATATTCAAACGCCATAATCCCAACGGTATTTTAATGCTAAATGCTTACTCACTTCATGCTGCAGAGCCAAGCGTAGAGGTTGGCTAGAAAAACCCGTTTTTCCAGTAATGACCTTCGGTGTTGTTTTATTATCACTCCCGCTTCCGCTCCAGCAGCTCCTCCAGCTCCTCAGGCTCCTCCTCCTCCTTCTCCACCTTTTGGAGCACTCTTGGAAATTCCACAGAATCGCATAACAAAAGCCCGAGTTTATATGTTTTGTTTGTTAGCTTCTTCTCCTGGCGATTTTTCTATTACCTTTTTTTCGGGCTAACTAACACACAAATTCCACGTGTGGTTTTGGCCAATTTCATTTTAATTAGCTTTATGCCGCAGAATTTCACTCACTAAATCCGTTTAGAATATCAACTCAGTGCACATTGACAGCTGCTCCGGGGGCTGAGAAGTTAATTAAAAGCCACTTTCGAATCGAAATCGATAAGCCAGTATATAACGATACATGCAATTTGCATTCAATGGCTGTAAGCAGAACAACAAGTGCTCCCAGGGGTGCGGTTGAGATTGGCTTAGAGTTTACAGAGGGAAATATGGTTTGGAAAATGTAATAACAGTGCATATTTATGATAACTATATTTCAATCTGAATGAAATTTAAACTTACAAAGGATTTGTATAAAAAACCTTTCTTGGTAATATTTTTATTTTAATTTATTGATATAAATAAAATATGGTAAAATAAATATCCGTTTTAATAGAAATACCAACTGTTCTTGGTAATTAATTCCCTTTAGCCTTCTACTCGCCTCACCCTGGAGTGTCAATTTAATTGGATTTTTTGCTCGCTAAATATGCTAATATATATGGCCGCACATATTCAGGTCTGATCTGTCTGATAGGCGGCGGCGACCTTGCAGCGGTCAGTTTTTATCACACCATGCTAATTGACAATAGAATTGGATTTCCACCGTCTGCCAATTCCCATTCCCCCGAGAAAGAACGGACAAGTGTGCCGTAAAAGCCAGCCACTTGGCCAAGTTAACCTTGATGGAACAGTTCTCTTTATTGGTAATCCCCTCTCAACCTCCCTACCTCCCTCGCCACCACCTCGGGTTAACCGGAGTGCTCAAGTGCATTTTAAACCGGCTGCAACTTGTTCTGGCCAAGTTAAGACGGGCCAAGCCGGGCCAAGTTGGGCCAAGACGAGGAGAATGACAATAAATATTTTGTAGCTTTTGCAGCTCGATTACAGTGTTCAATGGGGGGTGTTCAGGGGCGTTCCAAAGGGGGGAGGGCGGGAGGTGGCTTAAAGTCGAGACTTTGCCAGCGATTAAATGCCCCGAAATGCCAACTGTTTTTAGACCCCGAAAAGGGGGAGGCAAGAAGGCAGTGCAGCTCGTAAAATATGAGCCCGACGTGCATTGAATTCGGGTCATTGCATGGCCAAAAGCCGAGAAAAGGGGTTTTTCGAGGGGGGTCCCAGGCACAACTGGCGCCTTAGCATTTTGTAATTCGATTACTTCGATTTTGAGTTACGCCAAACGAAATTGGCTAATTTTGCATGCGCGCCCACAGGCCATTGAACTGCAGTTTCAGTATTCGTGGACAGCGGTCAAAATTTTATGTTTTCATGCCAATTGCTTAATATTCGGATTCAGGGCTCGATAAATAAATCAAAAATGTAAATAATAAATTACCTGGAAAATTTAATGCATTTGTTAGCTTAAAATATAAAATAAATAAAATGGGATAAGATATCTATAGGTAGAAATGTTTAATACTCTTCTAGAACGTGATTAATAAAAAAATGAATTGGAATGCATTTTTTAACCCAAAATATTAAATAAATAAATTAAGATAAGATAGTTATAGAGATTTTTAATAATCTTTTAATAATAATAATAACTTCTCTAATTCCCTTTTCAGATTGTAGGAACCAAACATTAAAGACTGAGGAAAACCAGGCGACAGGTGAAAAAGTTGAAACAGGTAAGAGAAGTGAAAAGGAATATTGAATTCACACAGAATGCAAAAATGCGTAACGCTAAACGTAACTTGGTAAGCCCGTCTTGGCGTGTTTTCCATAATTTACACTTTCGTTGCCAGGGCAATTGGCATGCCAATTGAAGGTGCACTCCCAGGCCACAAACGACATGGGTAATTCGAGGCGGCTAACAATGTGTTGTCAGGTGTGCAAAAGTTGGAAAGGGGCTTCGGGTTGGGAAGAGCCATCTCGACGGGTCCCAGGCTTTTCGAAGACCAGGAAGACTCCGAGTGGAAATGGCAGGCTGCAGACTGCAAAATCCAAGTGGCAAACTGACAACCTGTCGAACAATGGCAGGCGGCCTAAACGGCAGCCAAAGTGTTCGAACCTCGAAGTGTTGCAATTGTTGGCAGCCGTGTCTTTAATTATCGGCCTTAATTGGCCGCTTATTAAGACAGCCACATCGGCAATGTGTGTTAAATGATGCAGAAATTATGCGAATGCCGAATGCCAAATGCCAACGAACTCTTCTTTTGCCCTGGGATTCAGAAAATCAGAAATCGCTTTCGCTGCGAAAACCTTTTTGTTTCGGGCCAGCTTGAGAAACTTTCCATTGTGCTAGAAACAGAGTTTCTTTCAGAGGCACTCGTCTACACATATATATCCTATATTCATTTAATGCTGAGATAAATCTAATTTCATACCAAATTTATTGTACAACTCGCCCATAAAGCGGCAGAAGCAGAAGTTGTGGTAAAAATGCCATTCCATTGTTGATGAAGACGGTTCAGTTTGGTTTGTTTCGGTCGGACATCAGTCAGTCAGTCAGTCAGTCACAATTGAATAGATTTTCAGATTTACTTTTCCAGTTAGAAACAAAAAAATAAATGTGTGTAAATAAAAAACCCGCCGCCAGAGGAAGAAAACGAAAACGACGAAATAGCAGCTGCCGGCTGCATTCGACAACAGCGTTTAGTCTCAGAGATTTGCTTTCGAATGATGGCAAACAATAAAACTTTCCATTTCTAACAAAATTACACTCAAGACGAGACGAAAACAAAGCAAGACAAATTTGTCTAGTTATCTGATGTTGCCCGGCACTCATCGCTCGAAATCCCCACCATCGCCATCTGACTGAGAATTTGTTTTCTGGAATTTGTTTTATTTTTTCCTCTGCTTTTTGCATAGACTCCCACTCGGGGAACTCGAATGGAAATCTTTGCAGCGACACAATCTCGTAAATGTTGCATGTCATACCCCACAATTCCATTCCGTTCCCCAGGTGACATGTTGCACACGTGTGTGGCAAGCTTCCAGTCCCTTCTGGCCCATATAGTACCCCTCTGTATATGTGGGAGTATGCTGCGCTGCCCGCTGATTTGTGGCGTCGTTTATGTGGCGGAACTGTTTATTAATTAACGAGCGCATTTTGGCTTTATTCTGTCGGCATTACTGGCCTTCCAGTGGGTAGCAAACGATTAGGTGTTAAACTGTTGGCCCAGCTAATGATAATTGAGGTAAATGAGCCGCTGGCATGCAATGTTCTCAATCAGCTGCAGCGGTGGCAACCTACATAAGTTCTCGTAAGATGATGAGGTGATAAAAAGGGTGAAGAATATATCACATGTTGCATAATAGTTGTGGAAAAAGTGTTTTCAATACATGCATTTTATAAAAATTATAATTATAATACAAAAATCTATCGAATATTATTTTTAGTGAATTTACTAAAATATTCCTTCCGTTTGCTTCAAACTTAAAATTTATTTAATTATTTTTATTTATTTATTTCTGTAAAATTAAAACTTTAAAATTTTAATTCTTTTTGAAATTTTTGTTTGAAATATATAATATTTCTCTGAGTGTAACTAGGCTGCTTCTGTCTAATGGCTGTTGCCTGTCAAATTGATAATGGCCGCCTGGATGGCGCATAGCGATAAGCCTGGCCAAGACTCGCTCGAATGCTTCAATTGAAACTGTCAATTGCAGTGGCCACACTCTCCCCTCCCCTCTTCTCCACCCCCTTTGCCTGCTTTTGGTTACCAATTTTGGTGTAGGCGAAACAGTGAAAGTTGTGGCCATGATTGGCCAAAAAGCGGGGGTATATACGATCGAGGGGGACGGCAGTAATTAATGCCAATTAAATGTCAAACAAGAAAACAAATAATTTTACGCTGGGCGTGTCCCTGTTTTGCCGGCAACTCAATTCGATTTTGCTGACCAAACTTTCGAAAGGCTGCACAGATTAATTAAGCCAAGTTCAAAGCCCACCAGCCCAGCCGGTTCAATTGATTTAATTTCCCAAGAGCCTGTTGTCCGCTGCACTTTCTACGTCAAACAAAAGAAGGAAAGCGCTTCGTTTGCCGCCGGTGGCTCAAATTGTGTACGTATGTGGTAAGAGCCACGAAATAGAAAGAAAAAAAGAGTTATTTATGATTATTTAATGCAATTGCTGTGCTTTTTTGCTGCAGGTTCATTGCCCAAAGGCAAAACTCAGCGACTACAAATGCAAATTGAATCGCGCGCTTTTGCCCTGCAGTTGAACTATGTCGCCGATGAACCCGAACACGAATCCAAACCCAAACCCTTCCTCTCACTTGGCTAATTGCTTGTCGCTGCTGCTCTCGTCTCTTGGCTTTTGTCGCTTCTTCCATTGAACTTTGAACTTGGCCAGCCTCGCGGTGGTTTACTGACTTTCTTTTGTTGTTTATCGCGCCAGCCGGCGACATTTGCAACTTGCAACGGCTAACGGCAGCACCAACAAGAGCAATTGCTGCAGCTGCCACTCATGTGGCATGTGTGTGTGCTTGGATGTGAGTGTTTGGTAAGCCATAAGTCTTTTGTCTCCGTCTGCACACGAGCCATTGTTCGGCCTTGCACCGGTGCGTATACGTAATATGTGCGGACCTCCGCTTGACAAACGTTGCGTGCAATTTGTGCCCAATATCCAGATGCAGATGCCATCACACTGTTGCATGGAATTTGCATTGCTGCAGAATTTAATCATAAGGAAAAGCAATATTTTTTTTCAAAATTCGGATTTCAAATGAAGCTGGAAATGGCACTGCAAGGCAAAAATATTTACCTTCCCTTGAGTTCCCTTGAACAAAAAATGTGAAATATTATAACACTCTTTTACAAAAATAATAATATTTCCTTAACTACTAAATGGCTATAAATAAAACATAACAATTCAACAATTGTTTTTTGTTAAAGTTTAAATCTTTATAAACTTGTTCAACACTTAAAGTGTTCAGTGTTGAAAAAGGTAAGAAATGCCAGGGCTGTCAATACAAATATGTGGCAACTCTTTCGTTTTCACAATTTGCTGACTAATAAGTCATTGTAGGCCAACATTTTCTTCAGGATTCCCAAGGATTGAAAAGATTGCATTGTCCTTTAACCGCAAAAATGAAGGCAACCAAATTGAGTACCGCTGGAGATGAAAACGTTCCGTTGCAAGCTTGCAGCAAGGCAGACTGTCGCGTAGTGGACAAAATCATCCCGAAGGCGAAGAGCAACCAGCTTGTAACCGCTCCCTTCATAGAGGAAAAGGCGCATGTGGACGGAGATACAACAGTTTTCGAAGTTTCTGGAGAGATGGCCAAAGTTAGCGACCTCCTCTCGCAGCCCCAATCCTCGGGAGGAGTTCGGCCCATTTATCGGATTAAGCCTGGAACGCATGTGCACATGGTCAATTATATCGTAATCGACGATGACTTGATGGAGAAAGTCAAATCTGGAGAGCAGAAGTTGGAGCAATTGAGCTTGAAGTATAAGAGGGAATGCGCCATCACCGAGTTGCAGAAAATGATGGCCAATCAACACGTCTCAGCACCAGCTCCTCCAAGAGCATGTTCTTCCCAGGCTGTCGCAGATCCTGTAGCATCTTCTTCAGAACCTTCCCCATCTGGCGTGCCTACCGTGGCTTGTCTGATGGCGGAGCTGGAAGAGCTCCAACGTAAAGTAGCTGAGCTGCAGAAGAAAGATACTCTCTAAATCTCTCCTTCTCGGAAAAATCTAATAGATATCAGTATTGGCCATTCAAATGTCAAATATGTAGAAAAATATTCTTTTTTTTTTAAATTGCTAGAAAAAAAAACAATTATACATCTATATTATTTTGTGGTTTTTCTAATATTATACATCGCTCAAATTATTTGTACTTGCAAAGTAATGAATGTTTCTCGCATACTTTGGTGTACCATTGTCTGGCGTTTTGGCCATATTTGCCTTTTCCAAATCCAATACAGTTGCTGACCTCTGGCATACAATTACTCCACACCAACCTCCTCGTAGCCATCCCGCAGACCCTTCACCATCGGCTTTTCTGAGACAATTGCCTTAGACCGCCGGCAGACATCGAAAACTGTGTCTTGCCAGTTGCTCAAACCAAATGGGCAAGCTGTTCTCGTCTTTCCAAGTCTTGACTCTTGACTCAAACTCAAATACCGAATGTTTTTTATTTGCTTTTATTTGGTATTTCATATTCTAATTGTGCAATAAAAGTCAAACAAACAGGCATTCATAGTTCCCAGCCACGAAAAAGAATATAAGTTTCTGGGCGAAACAGGTAGTGGAAGCCATTAGAGGCAGCAATTGTTCTTGGCCACAATTTCGGGCTTTTTTATTGTTCTGGTCAAGATCTCAGCCGCAAACCGGATAAAATGGCAGTCATCGCCCTGCGGTGAAATCCCACAAAAAAACCAAAAAAATAAGACTGCAGCTGTGTGTCCCACAAACATGACTCACTGCTCCATTACAAGTTGTCTGTTGCTGCTGCAGTTGCAATTGCAATTTGTGCCTGTCCGACAGCCAGGCACTTACAAATTGTCCAACAAATTGGGGAATGTGGCGCCAACAAAAATTATCCCACGCAACAGGTTTTTATTTGCTGTTTGTTGTCCCCAAATGCAGCCAACTGAAAAGTTCTCTTCTACGCTCGTATTCATTAGGACTCAGTCATCGTAAAAACAATTTAACGGCGAGTTATTAAAAATTAAGCAAAAGTAGGGTGTGTGGTGGGGCTAGTCATAAACCCAAGTTACGATGCCACAGCGACAACAGCTGTTGCTGCTGGAAAGAAGCAACAGAATACAAAGTGGAAATCGGATCCCAGTTTTTTAGTAAGCGACACATTCTGTGGCAGGAGGGTAAAGTGGGGGATTTTACGGGGACCAGGGGTTTTTTTTTAATTAAGCAAGATGTTGCGGCAACACATGTGCGTGCTACTAAGAAAATAAACAAGAAGACAGCAGCAACTATTTGGTTTTGCTGCCCCGGCAACAGTTGCATCAATGGATGCGTTTTCATTTATTAATTTGCACTGTCTTGTGTTGCTGTCGTTGTTGTTGCAGATGATGTTGCTGCTGCAACTTGTGTTGCTGTTTCTGCTGCTGCTGTCGTTCTTTTGCGCCACGTTGCCAGTGCCTTCTTCAGCTTCCTTTCATCTTTTCCTCTTCATTTTGGCCTGTGTTGCGTTGTACTCTTTGTCTGCGTCACGCAACAGCAAATGAAAACGAAGACGACATGGGAACTTAACCTTGAAATATATGTTGCTTGCAGCCCCCAACCGACGAAACCGACTTCTCCCCATTATTTTCTGTATTTTCTGTGCTTTGTGCAATACCAAAAGGGCGGAAGATGGAAGATGTGGGTGCGTTCGCTCACAGGCATAAATTCACAGGCTTTGCTTGATTAAGGCAGTTCCCCCCAACTACGCCCGCGCACTTTCCTGGAATATCCTTGTGCGAAAATGAACATAAAACATTTCTCCGTAATCAACTGGCTGCTAAAAATAACCCCAACTTTGCCCGGGGCCTTGGGCTAATGCTCGGGGGCCATTGGTTTTAGGCGGCTTAGCGAGTATGGCAACTTCAATTAACCCGACATGATATCGAGTGACTTGGCAATATTGACAGCTAGACGCGAAGCTGTGAGCCGGGCTCGTTATTCAGGATAATTGACAGGCGAACAAGTGACTTTTGGCCCAAAGCATTTGCAGAATGTGTCAGGCCATCAAGAAATCATGTCGTTTTGGTCTTGGGTGGTCGAATTAATGTTTTTTGCCACTTAGGATCGTATTAAGTTTGAAACGTTATGAACCAAAAGGTTCCCCCAACCGATTTCTTTCGAATTTTGTAAAGAAAGATACAGAAATAGGGACTTTACTATTACTATTTACTCAACAAATCCAATCTTTCCACTTTAATCACGCTGTGTTGACTTCTTCTTAAAGCAGGTAGTCGTCAGCTATGTTTATGCTTAAAAGGCTTCAAACAGCCAGCGGCACTACAGTAATTTCCACTCCCCCTCCACAAACAACTTCTTCACAATTTAATTGCTGCTGTGCTGGATGTTGCTGCTGTGTTTGGATGTTGTTGCTGCTGCTGCTGCGGTGTTGCTGTTGACGCAGCATTTGTTGCTTTGCTGCCATTTTGTTGTCATTATTTTGTGGTCGCACAAGTTTGTTGTATTACCTGTTGACAAAATTGCCCTGCTGGCTGCACCAACATCCGGCAAGTTCTCGAGAGGCACAACAACTACCAAGCTAATGGCAACTTTGACTTGGCTTTAATTAAACAATCTCCCAGCCAAATTTTGTGTTTGGCTAAGCGTGTGAACAGGGAAACGGATTAATTTCTGCCATATATCATTCGCATTTGATTGCGGGCTGGCATTGAAAAATGCACAGACAAAAAAAGCAAAGCTAAATCCATTTTCCATTGTCAAGGAGATTTTTATGGGACTCAAAGTATACAATTAAATAATAATGAGCTAGAAATGACATCAATAAGTATTATATTATAATGTTCAAATCTTTAGAAATACTTAGTAAATAGATCATATAAAATTCTTTTATATTTTTCTCTGTGTAAAGTTTGAATTTCAATCCTCATAATTTTACTCAGCTTACAATGCTTGAGTTTCCCACACATGGAGAGCTCTCAATAATCAGCTGATTAAATTTAAAATTGTAATTAGGCCTAAAGCAGCGGCGAACAATGCAACAAAATGCGAAGTGCACTGCACACACTTGAACTTGAACTTTGAACTTTTAAGCCGCAAGCTTATGGCGGCTTAGAGATTCTGATTTCCAAGTCTTGGCCCGGCGCCGCCTAATTGGCAGTTTGCCTTTAAAGGCATCGGATCGGGCCCAGAGCAAATAGTTGACATTTGGCTAATGGTGGATCGCCCACAACATCCGTTCCGCTGGAGCTCCAAGTCAGAAACTCAGAGGAGCGGCCCAACCCAGCCAAGAATTCTTTTGGCCAAAAACTTCGCCGAGTGCCTCTGCATAACTTAGCCAGTGTAAACAAGGCGGCGGGCATTCCTCCGCTGCTTTGCATAATCTCGAGCGGAGCGAACATAACACAGGTGGATATGGGATATGGATGTGGATGTGGCTGCTGTGCATATAGATCCATTAATACGTGCGTATACATAACGATAAATGTATAAATAAACAGCAGAAGGGGGCCAAAACCCCCGGCCACTCAGCCACGCATAAATCTCACGTGCAAATGTGGAACAAAGCTCCCGAAAGAGCACCTCCCTCTTCTCATCCCGATTTTCAGATGGAATCCCATATAGTATATCGTATCTCCATCTCCGTTCATCTCATCTCGCGCTTCATTTGGATTTCAATTTCGTGCTTTTGCGCTTTTCGCTTTCCTGTTTTTTTTCCCAACTTTAATGGGAATCAACACTCGCTGGTGATTAAATTAAAATTCGGTTCTGGAAATTTTTAGCGTCTGAATCAACGGATTTTAACCCACTTTCCTGGCTCTTTCACGGGGGCTCTTGGCCAAAATAAAGAACGGCAGCTACTAACCCAAACAAAGACTAGGATGTGTTGTTGCTGCTGTTAAGAGTAGCCTGCAGAACTCTCCTGCTTGGGGCCCGAAAAAAAACCTGTTGGCCTCAATCGGCGAACGGCTGCGGTCAAGCTAACTGTTTTGCCCGATCAGATTAAAGCAAATACAGAACGCCAGAATGCAAAATATCGAAATGGGTTGCCCCATTCCCGCCGGAACGAAATGGGGAAACGGGTTTCGTTAACGGCCATTTTCGTGTGTGTCCAATTGGCAGACAGTGTGTGCAAAAATGCAAATCCAGATCAGACGGCACATCGATTAGTTTGTAACGCCCACGGATGGGGGTTCCACTCCCCTCCTCCTCCTCCTCCTCGGAATCCATCACCAAATGTCAGTCAGTCAGTCCAGGTGATCCACTCGCCTTAGATAGCCAACTTGGCTAACGAGGCGACGTCCTGGCCAAAGCATAAATTAGCCATTTTCGGTCAGGAGTTTAGCGCTAGCCTGAAATTTATGTAGATTTATTTGTGTAACACTTTTGCCTTGATATCTCTTTTGCTGGCCAACCATCTAAGCGGGGGGAAAACAGCATTCCTGCTGCCAGGCCAACTGACAAACTTGAAAAATAGCTTAAAGATGTTGTCTCGATGATGTTGCTGCTGCTGCTGCATTCCACTTCGAGTTGCTGTTGCTGCCACACCATCTTCATTTCGATTGGAGTTTGGACTTGGGCAAACGGCTTTTATATGGTCAAATGGGCCCCACAATTTGTTGTGAATTTTCTGCATTTCTTTAGCAGCCTTTGACAGTTTTCCAAATGCCCGGCTATTTCACTTTTTTCCGCTGACTTACTTTGAACATATGTATGTAAGTGATCTCTGGCGATCGATCCACTTGCTTTCCATGAGAATGGGCACAACTCTCATCGCCTTTTTGCCTGATTTTGTGTTCGCTGAGTTTGTGTGTGGCCATAAATAAATGGCCAATCGATTCCGCAACCGAATGCAAATGAGTGAAAGAAAAAATGCAAACAATTAACAAATGAAAAAAACCGTGGCAGAAATAGACAGAAAAACAAACGGTAACGAAAACCGCGAGCGGAGGCTAAAATTTATGGGTAACAATGCGGGCAAAAAAAGGGGGAAAAAAACACAGCAGCAACATTTAGCTGGCTCAGTTATGCAATTTGCCCAACCAACCTTCCCCTTTAACCCCCTCATCATCCTCATTTGATGCCAATTGTTTCTGGGACCGCATTGCACAGAGCCGAGATTTATGCATATTAACGTCAAGTCAAAATGCTGACCCAAAAATGCAGATCTAGTAGCATCTGATGCAGAAATCAAGCGTGGCAGTAACAGAAGTCGAGCACGCCGGCAACATTTAACAATGGGTCAACTTTCCTTGGCGCTGGCGTTGATGAATGTTGGCCAAAACAAGCTGCTGCTGTTGTCATCTTCATTGTGGTTGCTGTGGGTGTTGTCGTCGCCGCGACAGCAGCAACATCGCTAAAAACACCAGCAACACTCTCCCAATTCGGCGCCTTAACTACGTGTTTTGGTTCAGGTGACACACTTGCGTAGAGACTTACAGCCATATGAAGAAGTTAATGGCTTAAAGACCTCAAAATCGTTACATTGTTAACTGCTGGTTTGGTGATGTTGCTGCTGGCTTTAGTGTGAAGTGGTTCAGTAGAAACGCCCAAAATTGTAAGTCATTCTAGAAAGATCTTTCAGATAAACGAGTAATTTGATCTAGCAATGATATAACAACGAGTATAATAACAAGATGGATAGAAGAACATCATTCACAAAATTAGTGGTTCCATAAGCTTTTGAGAATAAAAGTCGCCCATAAAAATTCTCTCACAAATGACTCATTAAATTAGCCTAATAAAGTTCTACAGGAAATTTCACAGAGCCACAAATCATTCTCTCTTTGTTTGGGAAATTATCAAAATGTATGGTTAGTTCCTTAGAAGGAAACCAGTTTGCCTTTGAAATCATTTCTAGAAGCTCTGACCAAATAAAGCCGTCAATTTTAAAGCCATAAATGAGTTGTCTGTCTGTTTAATTTGTGCGGCATTTCCTAGTTTTTTTTGTTTGTTAGTCATTTTTGAGCCCGTTAACATGTTGCACATGCAGTTTGGGCCGGGTTTAGAAAGTCATTTGCAAACAGGGGACAAAATAGACGGCAAACAGTAGCCAAGTAGTTAACAACTGGCGGTTACCCAACAGCAATCGAATTTTCGTGTGCCAGGAGAGAGATGTGACAATCAAAGTTAATTATGTGGTTGTCAGCCTATCTAGCCATCCCTTACTATGTATTTTTTCCACATTTTCCCAACCCAACAATCAAGACTTTTCCGACCAAATCCATGGAGTCAACAGCAGCAGCAGCAGTCACATCATCATCAGCAAAATTTCAATAATTCCATTATCAAGATGAAGATTGATTGATAAGCTGTAGTGCCTGGGCAAATGGCAGTTTGTGGCCATGATTTCGGGGTACTGGGACTGGATGATGACCACATTGGCTTAACTTATCCTCCACTCAATCAATATTGAGTCATGCAGAAGGCAGAAGTTGAGATTGCGTTGCAGGCGGCCAGTGAAAGTTAATTGAGAGCTTGCGCAATATTTTTGCAAAGAAAGTTTAGGCTTACTAAGCTCCACTAACAACTAACCTCATCATCAACAAACCATAACTCACGACCACTTATTTATTTCTCTCTTCATTTTTCCCTTTTTTTTCAGAATATGGCCTAAGGTTGTTCGTCGGCGGAAGCAGCAGTAAGCAATAAGAAACCCCAAGCGAGATGTCGTCCTCGATCTGTTCGCACTTCACCCAGAATGCCTGGAAGAAGGATTTGTGCTCGAACTGCTTCAAGTCCAAGGACGAGCACAAGGCGGCCGCTGCAGCCAAACTGGGTGGCGGCCATAAGCCAGACAGAGAGGTGAAAACGGATTACCCCAACAAGCACAAGACCCCGGCGAAGAGCATCATTAAGAAGGCCTTCGGCGTACGACTGACCAGCAGCTCAAGTTCCACCTCCACTTCGACCTCTGCCAGTGGAAGCTCCTCAAAGTCCCTTAACTCCAAGGGTGGCAAGGTGTGCTTTCCCAAGCAGCTGCACGAGGTCATCGGCTATGGGGGAGAGTGGTCGGAGGACGATGATGACGACGATGACGATCACGACTTCATGAATCTTGGCAATGAGCACGATGACATGGCCATCACGGAAACGGATGACGAGGAGACGGTGGAGCTGAAGAGGATTACCAGGGCCAACACCGACTTCAATATGAACAATGGCAATCTGCTGGGCGATGCGGAGGAGAATATCAAGAAATCCTTTGCCGCTTTGAAATTGGGAGCTCCTCAGGTGGACAAGGAGGGCAAAAAGCAGACGCTTACCATCAATGTGATGCCTTTTGGACAACCCATTGGTAAAACGACGGCCACTCCTGCTAAAAGTGCCCCAGTGGAAAGCAAAAGCACAGCAGCAACATCAGTTGCAACATCATCATCATCATCGGCTGGAGCAGCAACACCAGTCAAAACCAAGCCAGCCAGCATAACCACAACCACGACAGCCATCAAAAGTAGTACTACTACGGTAGCTACTGGAACCACCAGTGTTACCAAAAAGGTTACTACCACCTTAACACCCACACTAACCATGGCCAAAAGCGGGCAGGCAGCAACCACAAATTCTTCTCGAGATGGTAAGGATAGTCCGCCCATAGAGCGAGCCATGGAGAAGTCGCTGCTGGACGAGATCTCCGAGACTCTGGAGCAGAAGCAGAAGCTAAATGAGACCACTACAACTTCTGGTAGCAACAACAGCAACATCTCCACTTCCACCAGCAACAACAGTAAGATCAAATTCGAGCTGACTGCGCTGAGTGATTCCCCGAAGCCATTTCTCGACCTTAAGAAGCCCATCGCACGGAATGCGCCCATCACCAGGGACCAGACCAAACCCAAGGTGAATGTGTGCCACAAATACTCGGATACGGACAGCAATTGCTCGGATACGGAGAATGGTGTCTCGGCGTACTACGATGTGGTGGAAACCCAACTGAGCTACGAGAATCTGCCCGATGGCAAGTACTCGGAACAGGTGGGCGTGGCCACGGCCGCCCAGACGGAGAGCTCAGGGAATTCCCATTACTCCAGCTCACAGTACATCACCGACATGCTCCTGAGCTCAAAGACCCGGGCGGCCAGCTACAACCTGCACGAGGGCAACTTCATGACCAGCAAGATAACCTCCGACGGCCTGATTGTGACCAAGTGCAGTTCGGACGACGCTCTGGACTCCACGGGCAGCAGCTTTGATGGCAGTTCCGATGAGGAGAATGCCTACAACATGATACGCAGTGAATCGGACTCTGGCATTGGCATTAGCCTGGGCAGCGAGTACAAGAATCTGGGCCTGGCCAAGGGAATGGCCATCAGCAGCGTGGCGGAGAAGAAGCTGAGTGCTAGCACCAATAACTCGGACTACGAGGATATACAGATTGGAGATCAGGCTACGCCAAAACCGGCTGTCAAGAGCCGGGAGCTGCATGGCGAACCCGATGGCAGTGCCGATCCGGACAACAGTTTGGAGCAGCAGAAGCAGAAGCAAACGACGACGAAGGAGGCGGAACAGCAGCAGCAGGTTCTCCCTGCGCTGCCCAAGTCACCGCCTCCACCGATGAAGATCGATGCCAGGCCCTCGTTTCTGCATGGTCTTAAAAAGCCCGAACTGCCAGTGAAACCTCTGGTCAATCCCAATAGTACCCAGAGTCCGAGCAACCAACTAAAGAGCTTCCTGGGTGGCAAGCGACAACCCAGCTGCGCCGAACAGCAGTTCATTAGCCAGCTGCAGTCGGCCATCTCGAAGTCCAGCGAGAGTCTACAGCTGGCCAAGGCGGATCATCTGGCCAGTCTAGCCGCCGACGAGGCCAAGCTGAAAAAGGGCAAAGCCCCGAATCCGCCGCCAGAGCCAAAGCAGAGTGCTCCGCCCACGCCGGAGCGAGATTACAGTCTGGTAGTTGAGTTCGAGCAGGCGACGAAGGCGGCAGCAAAGCCAGTCACGGAGAAGGCCACGTCATCGGCTGAGACATCATCGACAGGAGAGAAACAGCCAACAGCAGGTGCAACAGCTGCAACAGTTGCAACTGCAACCAGCAGCAACAGCAACTTGTACACCAGGAAGCCAGCTCTTCCGGCGGCGGCGGTGGCAGCTCCTGTCATCCGCGAGAAGGACAAACGCGAACGGGCCGTGATTAACCCCAAGTTCCGGAGTCTCAACACCTTCGTGATGCAGCGCGCCAATGCGGCCAAGCAGATGCAACTGCAGTCGGCCAGTTCGGTGCTGAGCCTCAAACAACCGATGACGCCAGAGCCAACGCCCCGGAATCAACGTCATCTCTCCATGTCGGAGGAATGTCTGGCGGCTGCGGGTTTGGATAAGAAATCCCCGACGGCCTCACCGCCGCAGAAGCAAAAGTCCAAGTTCTCCATCAAAAAGTTTCTGCGCATGGGCAGCAATGGAGGCGGTGGAGGCAGCAAGTCCGGTGAATCTCTGGCCAAAAAGGAGGCCAGCATCTATACGGAAATATGCACGGGGACGGAGGAGGGCAATGCCTCTGGGAAGCCACGATTGGTCATCATCCATCCCATTGACATTAATCCCACGGCCGTGGAGGTGGTGAAGGATATCACCAAGACCAGTGACTCCGTTTCGGCCCAAACGGTGGCCGTGGTTACGGCCAAGCCCCCCGCCCCGCCCCTTCGATCGAGCGCCAGTGAGGGACAGCGCGCCCACGAGGCCAACAAGCCGGCACGCCCACCGCCGCCCAAGAGCGCCGAGCTGAGGAGGAAGCAGAAGACCGAGCTGACCGCCACCCTCAGCGGAAGCAGCGTGGACTCCAGTGTCCTGCCACTCGCATCCGGCAACGGATCCGGATCTGTGAAGCTGAAGGCCGACAACGTCTACGCCAATTTGGGTGAGTTTTTTATTGAAAGAAGTAACTAGTACGGGGTGATCCAGAAATCACTTTTAAACAAAGAAACAAAAGCTTTTCAAAGTCTGTAGGAAGAGATTTTTGAAGAACTTCTGAGGGACTTCTGAAGAAATAAATAAATAATACTCAATAATCATAAGAAAACAGCAATCGTAAAAATAGAACTCTTTCAAAATTAATTAATGATTATCTTCAAAATGATATATAAGCTAATAAATAAGAAATGTTTATCATGATTTAATGAGGTACCAATGTCTTAGTGGACATTAACATACAAAATTTGAAGCTAATTCACCAATCCTAAAGGTTAAAAAAATTGTACAAAAATAGAACAGTCTAAAAAGGCACTATAAAATATTATATGAGGAATGTAAAGCTTATAGCCTGTCCGAAGAAAAAAATTTTATAGCCAATCTCCCATTATATCTTCAACCAAATATGTGGTTAATGTAGAGCAAATAAGCCTTTAAATTCGCACACACATTTTCGTTTCGGGCCACTGAGATTCCTGCATAATGAGTAAGCGGAATTCCGCCACTCATGAAGTCAATTTCCAACTCGTTCCCATTGACCCGATTCCATGAGTTGTTGTGGGCCACACATCCCCTTGCTCCCGCATCATGAATTTCTCCTGACTTTTTGCGATCGCATTCCAAAAGAAAGCGTGAGCAAATCACGTTCACTGACAGCGCCCAGAAATTGGGCGACCTTCAAAACAGCCAGCTCATGTTTATAGCACATGTATGTGGGTCTGAAGGGTCTTGGCCACTTCACCCACTTCTTTGTGCCAACTTGTTGACTTCAATTGCAGCCACAGCCACAAACACGAAACGAGAAACGAAACAAGAACACGAATAAAATCACCGTAAATGGTAAAACTCCTCTGAAAGTAGAACCCAAAAGCCCAAACGCAGAACAAGTTACGCATTTTAATCAATATAACGGGCGCACAAAAAACAAATACACACACCATCCGTAGTTCGGATACAGGTACGCCACTTATGACCATATCCGCCGCATCCAAACGAGTGTGATGAGCCGGCTCGAAGTGGGTTAAGTGGCCAAAGCCAGAGAGCAAAATAGTTGGCCAGCAAAGCGGTGAGGAAAAAAAAGAAACAGAACAAAAAAATCGAAATGAAAATAAGCCAGGCCAAACCAATGAGGTAACCACATGTTGATGGTTAGTTGGAGAGCAGCAGGAAAGAACCGACTGCCGACTGGTGAAACTGGCGGACCAGAGACCCATTTCTTTCGGCCTGACACTTTGCGGTCAACGCGACTGCGGCGAGAACTTGTTACACCTGCCGCTGCACCTGGCACCTGGTCATGAAAAAGCACAGCCAGATCCAGAGAACCATTTGTTAGACATCTCGTAGAAGAGCCCCAGATCCAAGAGCAACCACATTCAACCGCCTGACCATCAGCAGCACCACCATGCGAATTGTAATTTGGCACGAATTTGGGTCAAAATCGCAATTAGTACTCACAGGTTGTCTAACTACTTGGCCCCGGTGAAAAAAGGAGGAGGAGAGAGGGGAGTAGTAGGGTGGAGCTGGATTTTCCACAATTCTCCGGTGCCAGCAAACATTTGGCATCGCCCCATGAAGGCCAAGCAAATTTGAGGACGGCCTGGGAAATCTTATGAATAAATTACGATATGCCAGTGAAGAGCTCTTCTCTCTCTACCTCTTTAATTGTGTTTATTCATTGGTACTTGAGCTGATTTTGATAAATTAGGCACATCTGGAAAAGCAATGCAAATGAAAGCAAGATATCTCTCAATAAATACATTAGATGTACTTTACCGTTAATGCATAGAATCTCATATGTAGGCTTAGTAGCAATTAGGTAATACATTAGAGAGTCTCCTAAATAAACAGAACCATTTAAATACATTTTATTAGCTGAAACTGAATTCCATATAGAAAATACTCTTATTTTTTCCAACTAAAAAACACAGATACAGTTAAACTGTAAAGTTGCATAAATTAATTTAGGGACTAATTTAATTATAGTAGAACTTTAGTAATTTTAACTTTGCCAACTTAAAGTGTTTAAAAACCAAATGGTTTTAGGAAGTAAATTAAAAGACTTTTAAATACCTAACACATTTATCTGAGTCAACCTAGGATGATTAACAACATTTATATAAGTCGTTTATCCTCTAAAGAACCCTTCACTTACAATCACTTTCTTTTTTATATTCCACAGGGGAAATCCGCTCCTCGATCGCCCCACGAAAACCGGAGCGCACGGCCAGTATGCGGGAAAGGGAGGCCCAGCTGGAACTGGTGCGCAAGCGCGGAGTCCTCACCGACACTATCTCCATTTGCTCGTCAAACGGTGAGAATGTAGCCACGGATCAGGGCAAGGCGATTTCCAAGACGAGTGCCAACACCACGGGCCAGGAGACAGGAAAGTCCGTATCCGCGGCCAACAGTAGGACCAGCACCTTCGAGCGCCAGTCGCAGCCAAAGAAGAGCGAGCCGAAGATGTCCATCTCCAGCAAACTAGAGATCTTCGAGCAGCGAACTCTGGATGCCGCGGATGCTGCCCAACGGAGCAGCCTCAAGGATTCGGTGCGCAAGATCAACAGCACCATCGATAGCTATCTGAAGGACAAGCGCGACTATGAGAATATGTATGAGTTTGTGAAGATGGGTTCTCCGCCGCCACCAACGGCCAATGGCAATACAACGCCCACGCCCTCCACTTCGTCCCCTCCGCCGCCACCCACGCGCAGTAACATCGATCTTTCCGTGGCGGGACAGAGACTAACGCAGGCCACGAGACGCAACAATAATATCTACTCGGACACGGCCTCCATTGCCAGTTACACGCGCAGCGAGTACGGACCGGTGCGAAACTACGGATTGAACAACAGCTTGGGTAGGTTTTTTGGGTACTTTATAGGGTCCTTCAATAACTAAGAGTTAGAATAACTCATTAGAAGCTCTCTAGTTCGGTGGTGGCCAGCAAAAGCAGCGCACAAGGCCCTCGGATAGGCAGTTTCTCTGCCGCTGCGCTGCTAGCACTTCGACACACACGTACGCAGTAAAGCTGTTTTTGCTCTAGTTCCTTATATCTATTCCTTTCCATATCTACATATAACTTATCCTTGATCTTCTTCCCCTTACAGCCAACATTCCACGCATCATCTCGGCCTCATATGCGGGCAGTGAGGTGGGCGAGTTCGATATCTATGCTCCGTACAGCTATTACGGCAGCGAGGCGGGCGGCGATGTGGCCACGGACATTAACGACAGCGTCTGGGGCATGCCACAGGTTAATATTAACTATAAAAAACCATAATCTATAAACTAATTGAAATATTTTTATAAACCAGGCCAACAAGAACCGCAGCAAGGCCACGAATCGTTTGCGCATGCGCAAGGGACGCAGTGTCGTGCACAAGACCATCGAGGATAACTACACCGCCGTGGTGGTGGCCAATCACGAGGCCCTCGCCCAGGTGCTAGATCAGGTGGGGATTTCTATTTACTATTTCGTATTTCCTGATTACTAATGCTCATCCTTAACAGCTCCAGCAAACGCCAGTCGTTCCGGCTGCCCTGCGTCCTCTGGCCAATGCCATCAACTTGCGCTACGAGGACTTCACCATTCTGGAGGGCACCCAGGCCTTTGTGGTGGGCAAGAAGGCCTTCCATGCGGCCCTCTGGAGCTCATCGCCGGTGACCCTGGCCCTCTCGGCTGACTGCAACCAACTGGCCGGCGTGGGTGGTGAACTCAGCCAGCTGACAGGCGGTGTGAGCGATGTGCTCAATCCGGTGACCGAATTCTGTGACCTGGTGCCCAGCTACCAGTTGCCACTGATGCCCTCGACGGAGGTCACCCTGCTGCAGGCCACCATCTCAGTGCTGCCGCGATTGCAGCTAGAGACTCTCCAATCGATCGGTTCAATACTCAAGGGCAAGTCGCAGGTGCTGGACAAGAGCAACTTCAACTTCCGCGGCTCCATTCCGAATCTCAGTGGGCTGAAGGAGGGAAACGGAACGCTGGCCGGGAATCTGAGGAATGTGGTGTCGGTGCAGAATCTGAGTACGCTGAACGAGGAATCCTCGGCCACGTCGATGGGTGCCGAGGATGGGTCGGTGAATGCGAATGCCATGCCAGCATTCGATGATGTGATGACGCGCGAGGTGGCCTTTATCATGCTGCAGCTGGTCAACGGAATGAAGAACCTGCAGGCCAAGGCGATCGAGGAGACGCCGCTCAGTCTGTCCAATGTGGTGCTGTCCAAGGACATGGACAACAAGGACGCCCAGGCGCGACTCTGCGTGCTGCAGGGGTGAGTGTACATAAATAAATATCCATTTTAAAAACTTATTGAATTTAAATTTTCTTGTAGAAACAACAATGACGATGACGAGCCCATGGGCACGCTGTGCAAGTGCGCCCACTCCGCCCTGACTGACATGCTGCCCGCCACAAAGATCACGCCCATCCTGGCGGACATCCTGCAGCAGGAGCGAGCCGAGTCCCTGTCCAAGGCCAAGGCCGTGCTGGAGTTTGTGCTCTGGGGTCCCTCGGATGTGGCGCTCACGGGCTCCATCAAGGAGCGGGAACTGGCCCTTCAGCGGTGGCTGGATCTGGAACGGGCCACCGTTCTCCACGGTCTGGTGCGAACCCGGGTCGAGCTGACCGTCTACGACGAGTGTCATCTGATGTTCCTCGTCCGCTCCACGGCCAAGATGATGAACGATGCGGCCAAGATCGTGTGCAACTACCAGCAGACGAACGGATCGTCTGCCAGCCAGGATTAGTTAGGCACCAGTTAATCTGCTAGTTAACCCTGCTCAATGCTAAAGGAATTATCTTATAAATATATACTATACGAAACTGTCATAGACACTTAGTCCTTAGAGTCAACGAACGATATCTTCTGAATCGCCCCATATAATCCATACTATACATATATATCTTTGCCCAGCGTGCCAAATTGTTTCGCGCGGAAATTGTCATGTAAAAATATGCTTATCGTATGCAAACTCAAACGATTTGCTTTGTGCAACTTTAATTAATTTGTAATCTAATGTTAAGTCATTAATCTAAACGAATATTTATATTTCCCTATACGAGTACGTAAATCTGTATACTTCATCAGATTGCAACTATTATCTATGAGTATGCCAACAATTTGATTAGTAAAACAAAACTTTTTGGTGTTTGAACAAATACATATATGGTAAACCTAAATAAACTACAGTCTAAATAAATAAATGGAAACCTACGGTCGATTTTTTTATGGTTTATACGGAACGGAAACTGATTCTGGCTTTAATCAAAAATAACCCCCATAAGCCATCGAAAGTTCAACTGGTCTGATGCAATGGTAACTAGTTGTCGAGTGAAATTTTGAAATTGTTTGCCAACGCAAAAAGTTGTACGGAAATGCTTTGTCAGCTAAATTCGCGTTTGCTGCCAGCTGATTAGATAAAGTTTTCGCCCCAAAACACTCTCTTTAGCCTGATAATATTTTTGAACCTATGCCAATAGAATTGACCAATCCTAACAGCGATGATACTGCTTATTTTGTGTGAAATAACTTGGGGTATATTGGTTTGTTTATAGCTTACAGCCACTTCTTACAATTTTGTGTATTTTTCCGATATGAAACGTATCTTAAATATCTTCGTTTGGAAGATCATTTTGATATGTCTTTTTTGGTTATCTCCCTTACAGTTTTTAAAATTTCATTCATATTCACTCCACTTAAGGGGTATATTTTAGTCGATATTATGGCATATACAATATGTATGTAGCTTTTTTAATGACCGAATGTTTGCCATATGTTTTCCTAAGCAATTCTCAAATACTCGCGAACCTGTTTGGCGCTCCCTCTCTTCCGCTCCCAAATCTATCTTTTAGCGTGCTGTTTTCGCCGAATTCAGCAGTAAAGCTCGCCGGGTGTTTGAAAAATATAAAGCTAATAGAACTATCGCTGGGTATGAGTAGTTTCACTTTGACCGTGAACGAGCAAAGTTCATAGCGTGGCAAAAATGTTGAAGGGGCGTATCGGTCTAGTAATACAACAGTCGCACAAGGCGGCCCTCTTTTCTGCCAGTCAACAGGTAAACAAATATGGGTTTATTAGAAGCAATGAAATAAAAATAATAAAAGACCATAAATTAAATTCTTATTATTTAACCATATTTTAGCGCTGGCAGACAAATGCGGCTACAGCTGAGGCCAGAGAAGATCCCGAATGGCTCCAGGCCAAACCATTCGAGCAGATTCCCCGGGCCAATATGCTATCTTTATTTGCGAAAATTGCGTTGCCCGGTGGAAAATATAAGAATATGGAATTGATGGATATGTTTGACGCCATGCGTCAGGATTATGGAAATGTATTTTACATGTCCGGCATGTTGGGAAGTCCAGCCTTTGTGATGACGCACAATCCCAAGGACTTCGAGGTGATTTTCCGCAATGAAGGAGTATGGCCATTCCGACCGGGCAGTGAGACATTGCGTTACCATCGAACCGTTTATCGAAAAGAGTTCTTCGAGGGAGTTCAAGGAATTATTCCCGCCCAGGGAAAAGCCTGGGGAGACTTCCGATCTATCGTAAACCCCGTTCTCATGCAGCCCAAGAATGTTAGGGTATACTACAAAAAGATGTCACAGGTTAACCAGGAGTTTGTGCAGCGGTAAGAGAACTTACATTAAATACAAATGTTTTCTTAAGATTTAAATGTATATGTTTTTTAGCATCAAGGAATTAAGGGATGCCACCACTCAGGAGGTTCCCGGCGATTTCCTGGAAACCATTAACCGGTGGACCCTCGAATCGGTATCCGTGGTGGCCCTGGATAAGCAGCTTGGTTTGCTCAAGGAGTCTGGAAAAAATAGCGAAGCAACCAAACTTTTCAAGTACCTGGATGACTTCTTCTTGCTCTCAGCCGATCTGGAAATGAAACCCTCCCCCTGGCGATATATCAACACACCACAGTTGAAGAAGATGATGAAAACTCTGGATGGCCTGCAGGGCATTACTTTGGGCTGTGTGGATGAGGCGATCGAGCGATTGGAGAAGGAGGCCAAGGAGGGTGTGGTGCGTCCAGAGAATGAACAAAGTGTCCTCGAGAAGCTACTAAAGGTGGACAGGAAAGTGGCCACTGTTATGGCCATGGACATGCTGATGGCGGGAGTGGATACGGTAGGTGGTCAGAATATTCTATAGTATCCTATCAATAATATTTTAATTTTTTATGCAGACTTCGAGCACCTTTACGGGACTTTTACTCTGCCTTGCCAAGAATCCGGAGAAGCAGGCCAAGCTGCGGGAGGAGGTGATGAAGGTGTTGCCCAACAAGGACTCCGAGTTCACCGAGGTTTCGATGAAGAACGTTCCCTATCTGCGAGCCTGCATCAAGGAATCCCAGCGTGTCTATCCTCTGACCGTTGGAAATGCCCGTGGTCTGACGAGAGATTCTGTTATAAGCGGCTATAGGGTACCAGCCGGTACCTTTGTGTCCATGATACCCATAAGTTCCCTCCATAACGAAGAGCACTTCCCAAAGGCTTCTGAGTTCCTACCAGAACGCTGGCTACGGAACACAAGTGATTCCAGTGATTCCGCCGGAAAATGCCCGGTAAACGATCTGAAGACCAAAAACCCTTTCATATTCCTGCCCTTCGGCTTTGGACCTCGCATGTGCGTGGGCAAACGGATCGTGGAAATGGAACTGGAACTGGGCATTGCCAGGCTCCTTCGAAACTTCAATGTAGAGTTTAATTATTCCACAAAGAATGCTTTCCGCTCTGAACTTATCAATCTGCCCAATATACCACTCAAGTTTAAGTTCACCGATGTGCCCAACTAATGGGTTTTATATTGGTGCTTGACTCTGATATTCTCTGTTGTGATAACTTAGGTGTGGTTAAAAATATGCATTGTTACTCCCTGTAACGTAATTGTATTAAAAATAAATGCGTGTGTCCTTTTGTTTTGATAATAAATTTACATATTGAATACTAAAAAAATCAGCAGTCAATATATGTAAGAGATAAGATTAAAAACAAATGCCCCAATAAATTGTTAAATAATTAATATAAATGTATAATTAGGTTTCTAAAGTTATATTATTTAAGTATTTACCTATTTTATAGTCTTTTAAATATATTTCAATAGCTTTCTAACCCAACTTGTAATATTTTCTAGTCATGGTGACAATTATTTGTTGGCATTGACACTGACCGATATGAAAGGGGAAACCGTTAATTTGTTTGTGTTTATTGGGGGCTGGTTGTTTGTCAAAGACAGATAAAACTTTTAAAAAATATGACGCATTCCTATCAAGGCTAAAATTCAAATAGGTTTGTTCCCATTTCACTATAAAATGTTTTTAGAAAATGAGCGAATTCTAAATAATGAAATAAATATTTTCTATTAACTCGTAAATATGCTCTCTAGAACCTGTTCGTAAACCAGCTCTCAGTGGGTCGCTATCTCTCCTATCCCTCTGTTTATGTGTTGTTATCGTCCAATTAAGCGTTAAAGCTCTCGCAGCCTTAGAAATATAAAGCTAATGGAACGCACACTAGGTTCTCAGTTTTATTTTGGCGTTGAACGAGAGTAGTTCTAAACATCGCGAAAATGCTAAAAGTGCGCAGTGGCCTATCATTAATTCAGTCGCAAAAAGCGGCTCTCTCGCTCAGCTCTCAAAAGGTAAATACATGTATTAAATATAAACAAATAATCTAGGAACTACTTAGCTCTTTATCAGGTTTTTTAACTATAGCAAAAAGGCCAACAAACAAAGAAATCATAATGTACATATATAATATAGATTATTTTCATAATATTTTTAGCGCTGGCAAACCAATGTGGCGACGGCTGAGGCTAGAGAGGATTCCGAATGGCTAAAGGCTAAGCCATTCGAACAGATCCCTCGCCTTAATATGGTGGCATTGACGATGAAAATGTCTATGCCCGGTGGAAAGTATAAAAACATGGAACTTATGGACATGTTCGAGGCCATGCGACAGGACTATGGAGATATATTCTTCATGCCAGGTATAATGGGTAACCCATCGTTTTTGAGCACCTACAATCCAGAGGACTTTGAGGTGATCTTTCGCAATGAGGGAGTATGGCCTCACCGCCCGGGAAACGACACACTGCGCTATCATCGCGAGGAGTATCGAAAGGATTTCTACCAGGGTGTCATGGGCATTATTCCCTCACAGGGAAAACCCTGGGGAGACTTTAGGACCGTCGTCAATCCCGTTCTCATGCAACCGAAGAATGTGAGACTGTACTACAAGAAGATGTCGCAGGTTAACCAGGAGTTTGTGCAACGGTAGGTGACTATAAGAAAATAATCAACGCATTATTATAATAAACAACCATTTTCATAAAAAGTATAAAGGAACTGAGGGATTCCGAAACTCTGGAGGCGCCCGATGATTTTATAGACACTATCAACCGCTGGACCCTTGAATCCGTATCCGTGGTGGCCTTGGATAAGCAGCTGGGATTGCTCAAGGATTCGAAGAAGGAGAGCGAAGCACTCAGACTTTTCCACTACCTAGATGAGTTCTTTATAGTATCCGCGGACCTTGAGATGAAGCCATCTCCCTGGCGCTATATCAAAACTCCCAAGTTGAAGCGATTGCTCAAAGCTCTCGATGGTATCCAGGAAGTCACGTCGGCCTATGTTGACGAGGCGATAGAACGATTGGATAAGGAGACCAAGGCGGGTGTAGTGCGTCCGGAGAATGAACAAAGTGTCCTCGAGAAACTGCTGAAAGTTGATAGGAAAGTGGCCACTGTTATGGCCATGGACATGCTGATGGCGGGAGTGGATACGGTGAGTAAATGGTATAGTGATCTCTGATGGTATCTTGTAATTATTATTTCCATTCAGACCTCGAGCACCTTTACAGCTCTTTTGCTGTGCCTCGCCAAGAATCCTGAGAAGCAGGCAAAGCTGCGGGAGGAGGTTATGAAGGTGCTGCCCAACAAGGACTCCGAGTTCACCGAGGCTTCGATGAAAAACGTTCCCTATTTGCGAGCCTGCATTAAGGAATCCCAGCGTGTTCACCCACTGATTGTCGGAAATGCTCGAGTCCTTTCTAGGGACGCCGTTCTCAGTGGATACCAAGTGCCAGCTGGAACTTATGTGTCCATCGTTCCTCTGAATGCCCTGACCAGAGATGAGTACTTCCCACAAGCTTCAGAATTCCTGCCGGAACGTTGGCTGCGAACCCCCAAGGATTCGGAATCAAAGTGTCCCGCAAATGAACTAAAGTCCAAGAATCCTTTCGTATTCCTGCCCTTCGGATTTGGACCTCGCATGTGTGTGGGCAAACGCATCGTGGAAATGGAATTGGAGTTGGGAACCGCTCGACTTATTCGTAACTTCAACGTGGAGTTCAATTATCCCACGGAGAACGCCTTTAAATCTGCACTGATAAATCTTCCGAACATTCCGCTCAAGTTTAAATTTACCGATTTGCCCAACTAATATATTGTTGCTTTAATTTAAGCTTTTCAATCTTGGCCAATTTTAAATTGTTGTGATACCTTTAACATTCTATGTTTTATAATTATAAACCTAGTTTTAATGGTTGTATGAAATCCCTTAGCACAAAATATAATAAAAATATATATTATATATTAAAGAAACGTTTTCCCCAATCCATTAGTAAATAAAACACCTTAGGTTTTCTATACATTTAAAGCTATTTCATTTCCAGTTTAATACACACTCAAATATATATATATTTATGTATCTTTGTAGATGTATAAGTATACGGATACTAGACATAAGTACACTCAATACGGTATATGGTACATTCGTGGTAAACATTTTACAACAGTTTTACAGTTAAACAGCTCATGGATTCCGGTAAGAAAGAGGGCAGGTGCAGTGACCAAAACTGCATTGCGTACAATTGGATTTGGGTGTTTTTGTTTTTGTTTTACCAATTTCAACAATAAAATAGTTATCTAGCTTAGAGGGCAAAATGCTTGTAGAGAGTAAATATTCAATGGAAATTCCTTGGTTTCTCTTTTCTCTGTTTTTTTTTTCAAGGTATACATCGAGATATATATATATATGTTCTTTTATCATAGCTTGTTCACATTTTTTTTCTAATTTTTCTTTTTCATATGGGTTGGTCCAAATTGGATATTGAAACTTTAACAAATTGGTTCACTTGGTTTTATTCCGCTCTTGGATATCATAGTAAATGTTATGCATATAGAATAGTTCTACATAGATAGATGGCTTGAAAAGTAGTTGAACTTTTGATTTTCTTTTTTATTGAATTTTCATTTATGTATTTAGTTAGAGGTTAATGATTTGCGTATTGAATTCTACTAAGAAGTTGCTTTGGATGTCTGTTTATAAAATGAATAAGAATTCAGTCCTAAATTACGGATATGGAGAGGTTCTTCTTGAATTTACATTTATGGATCGAAAACTTATCAGATATTTAAGTATTTAATTTATGGTTGGCATGCTTAAGTATCCTCTTGGTAAGCTTTAAGAAAAAAAAATACACTGTTTGCCAATAAAGGCAAATACCATCCGCATCGCTCGTTCCAAAGAGTCCCATCTTGTTCGCACACTTGGCTAGTTATACATATTTTATTGTACGCAACTCATGTTGGCAAACTGAATTTTTATGCTTATACTTTAATGCACAATCGATACGCGGGGGGCTGGGCGTTGGAATTACGCACGAGGGGGACTTGATATGTGGGTGCACGTAGGTGAGGCCATAAAAACAGGAAACAACAGGAAAGTGAAAACGAAAGAAAAACGGAGCCAGGCTTAAGTCCTAAGCCACATGTGTGATTGTTTCCCGTGTTCTCGTATCTGTTCCCAGGCCTCTGTTTGCGGTGCGTGCGAGCGCAATAAAATTTAATTTGATGCAGGCACACAAACAGAAGAGCCCCCAGAACCTACCGCCGCCCAAACGTCAGAAACAAAAAATGTGAATTTTTTCCCCGGTTCACAAAACAAAACAAAACAGCAGGGCACACAAAACACTGCATAGTTCTGGGCTGCAAAAAAAGAAACGAAACGAAATGAAACCACAAATGCGGGCGGGACGGAAGTGGTTACAACTCCACCGCCAACCCTTCGCCGCAGGCCCGTTTAAGCGGGCGGCTTAGAGCTTAGGGCCGAGGGGCCGAGGGGCGTGGCAGCGACAAAGCATGCAATAAAAATGTGGAAAGGCGGCGGTCCGCAAAGGACCCTGAGGATAGGGATACGGATACGAATGGGAAGCCCCCGCCTATCTCAGCCTGGCCAAGAAATAACTCAGTGTCTGTGTGTGGGATGTTAATTAGGTTCTGCTACACCGCTTTGAAACCCAATTTGAGGTGCTTTAAGCTGACCTTTGCTCGGTGGCACTTGACCCGCTTCGGATAGACAGGCGCCAAGGCTTGAGCCGCCATAAATTTGCACCGACAAGGACATTAGACGGGCAAAGCTTTTCCACACAGACATTCAAATGGCTATAGTATAAAGTATATATGCAAAACAGCAAATCAATTGTCGCGTCGTCGCCTGCCGCTGACAGCAGCAGTTGTCCAGGGACGACGCTTCGTCCGGCAAATTGCGATTGCATGCAGGTTTTTCGTTATTTTGATTTTCGGATTTTAAGCACACATGTTTGGGGATTTAAATTCAACTGCGCGCCGATCGATGCTTCATTAAATATATAAGCATCATAAGCTCTTCCACGAACATAAATCAAAATCGCTTATTGATGTCTGCGCAACACGCTGCGTATACTCGATGACATAAACGTGCCGGCAAACAAAAGAAGGCAAGGAAGGGAAGGGAAAGGACCCAAGGGTTTGGTGAATACATACAAGTGACATCATTTCTTAGGACAACAATAAACGAAATACATTAACTAATATGAAAACAACAACGAGAACCAAAAAAAAAAGGTCTAATGGAGCGAAGCCACCTCAATTATGAGGCGCGACCATAAATAGATAAATTTGTGGCGGGAACTCAAACGGTAAGGAATATGCAAATGTCTGCCATCCGCATTTCAGTAATTCAGTATTCTCAGTATTCACTATGGACTATATAACCTGCTCAATATTTGCGGGCAAAGCTTGGCGTGCCCGGATTCAGAACGCGGCAATAATGCGAGCTGGTCACGCAATACGGATCCCGATCCAGATCCCCCTCATCGTCATCATCGTCGCCGGCGGCGGCCAGTTGGTGTTGGTGGTGTTGATGCTGCAGATGTTGCTGCGTCTGAGGCCTCCGGCGCATTGATAACGGTCATTGGCGCTGTGTAGCGTTGCTGATGAACTCGCCGTGCTTCAGCACCTGTAAAAAGCGATAAAAAAGGACGTGTATAATATATAAATTTCACACTTTTTTGTGGTAAAGCTGTTTAATCGTGTGAATCGGTTTGGTTCAGGGTAAACAGAATTATTAAATAGCTGAGGAATTTTTTCTTGTGACCAACTAATGAGTTGGACTTATTCAAATATATTTCTATAAATAAATAATTTGTAGCCCACTTTCAGCTTAAAAGCCTTAAACTTAAAACGGCTTATAAAATATTTGCGCAAAATTGTCTCGAAAATATTCAGCAAAATTCTTGACCATTTTAAATTATTTGTGTGTCTGAACAGGAAATATTTAAGTAATGAAGAAAAACTTATTTTGTTTTAAGAAACCATTTAACATATTTTACAACATGTATTAAAATTCGTGTAGCACTAAATTTGAATTAAGCTTCTCAATTTACTAAGAAATATAAATATCAATTGAATTTGTCATGTACTTTAAACGAAAAAGAATTTTTAAAACAGTCGCCATTAAATTAATGAAAGATTTAAGCACGAAACGGACATATAGGAGTTCCCCTTAAGCTTTATTACGGCACTCAGTCACTTACCACATCGGCCACGATGGGCTCCTCGATCTCGAGTCCTTGCAGCGTCTGCTCGCGGCTCAAATGCAGCTCGTAGGAATCTGTGGGCGTGACGAACACCACGCGATGTTTGCGTGTCTGCAGCACATTGGCAATGACCAGCTGGAAGGATGACGCGGAAGAAATTAGAATTCGGATTACGGGGCTTCCGGAGTTCCCCTGGCTGGCTGCAAATTACAAAACTCACCTTGTGCTTGTATTTGTTGAGGCTGTCACGTGCCTTCACAATCAATAGGCTCTCGTCCGTTTCCAGCTTAAAGGACACCACAAAGGCGTGCGGAACCCACAAACTGGCGAGGGGGGCCAGCATTTTTGGCACCAGCTGAAGCGAAATCGTCGGCGCCCCATCTCCCGATTGCATTTTGTGGGTGGGCTGCAAAATCCGTTGACAGCGGTTAGTGTTTTAATGGAATGATGGGACCACGTTGCGTATACGCGATGTGATGGGATTGGTTCGGTTCGTCGGTTGGCTGGTTCGTTGCCCACAAAAGCCACCGCGGCAACATCCTCTTAAATGGAGGAGAGGACGAACACACACACAATGCAGCACTCATACACAGCCACTCGCACGCACACTCGGCCAGCAAAGTGTCCTTGCAAAATAAACAGACAGACGGCAAAATGAAAGGCCAGGGCTGCCTTTCAGCTTTCGCTTTTATTTGCTGTATTTTTTCCTCCCTTTTTTTTGACGCCACGTGGCATATGAATTACAACTAATTGAAAGCATAACTCAGCCGTAATGAGCTAACGACAACGCCTGGCTGCACATCCTGGGCAAGGATCTTTTTAAAGCTTTGCTAAAAATATTGCTCATACGCCGTGTGGCCGTCCACCACCAGCAACTTGTTGAGCGCCCCCTGTCCGTTCTCATTAACTGAGCAACGCCGTAAGCTGCTCTAAGCTGCTGACCAGTCTCATTTATCCGGCACACAAAAGCGGGCACAGCCGGACAATGCGGTCGGACAGGCGGACAAACGGACAGCAGGACAAACGGACAACTGGACATGCGGACAACCGGACGGACACGCCTAAGTAGCCGGGACATTGGGCGAGTAGAAATGAAAAATTTAGCTCAAGGCATTAAGTCGACAACGAAAAGCGAAAGGAAAGTCAAAGGAGGGGAACTTTAAGCTTTTCGGGGGAAAAAAGTTTGTGGGTCTCTGGCTCGCTGGGAAATGCTAGCAGCTGTTGACATTGAATTCGCTTTCCTGCTTTTCCCTTAGTTTCTCGTTTTTCCCCTCTGTAGAATCCAACTGCAGTATGGCTGTGCGTTGGTGCGTGCTCTTGTAAAATCTTTTGATTTGATTTGCGGATTTCGGCACGTCGCCTTTTGTCCTGGTCTCGTTTTCGTTTTCGTATTCGCTTGCCTCCACTTAGTTTACTCTTTTAATTTTCTGTTTGTTCTTACTTATTACGAGTACAATTTACTTTCGGTTCCTGCCCAACGCATTCCCCGCCGAGCCCCGAATTAATTCAAATTGTATGGCAAATATGGCCTTCCTCTCCCCAGACCGTGCATAAATTTGTAAAGGCTTTTAGGCCTTGTTTTCCTGGAGGCGTGTGCTTCGGTCGTGATGATGCGATTGTGAAATTGAATTTTTAGTATCATCTTGCAGTGTACCAAGGACTATATACACTCATTTATATGTATGTAAGCGGCGACGACAAAAGTTTGGCAAGTGGCTTTTGGTAAACGTGTCTGGGCTGTGGTTTGACTTGTTGAAATTCAGTATGGCATGTGACCTTGGCTTTAAGGCTAAGAGGATGGCGGAATGAGTTTTCAATTTGCCGAGAAACTCGGCTAACTGCTAACAGCTAATGGGGGAAAATAGATTTTAGTTGCCTACTTTCGAGCGGGCAAAGTCCTTGAAATCACTCGAAGAACAACTTGAGCTTGGTTTATTTTCAATGCATCGAGCTTGACTGCTTCTATTTATACGATGCCAAGAGGTTATTATGCAAATCCAAATCGATTGCTGGCAATTCGTGTTGCCCGCCGGGAAAGGCTCCGAGCAGCACTCAAAGATGATGCCAAATATGCGCATAAATTTTGACTAGACACGTGCATAAACATCAACAGGCCATTTTCGGCATTTTCGGCATATTCTACATTTTCTACATTTCACCCAAGGCAATGGGCCGTGAGAGTATCTAACAATTTAATCAAGTGAACGGACCATTTGTGGCTAACACACACGTTTAGAGCGAGAGACGTGTATGCATACACAGACAAAGTGGGCGAATGTCTTGGGCGGAAAAGCGAACGGGAAATGCACGAGCTGAGCGGAAACAAGGCGTAGGAAATGCCACGACGATGCTCGGAATCGGAATCAGATTCAGGCTCAGATGATGGTTGGCGGTGGCAAGAGGAAGATGTCCGTGCTTGCCACCCATAGCATCCACCAAGTGCTATACAAATGGGGTCAAAATAGCAGTTTTGGAATCTAGAATCTATCAGGAACATTTCTTAATTCGAAACAGATTTTAATAAAAATAGTATTTATTTATTTCTAATCGAGCATAAATGTTATTAGAATTTTTCAACAGTTTGTGTCCTTAATATTGAACATATATTGTCCTTATTTTCTAGAAAGATTCCTTGACTTGGCAATATATGTATCTTTTGCATTATTTATACTTTGAAAAAGCTTCCAACTTTTCATTCTACTTAAAAACAACTTTTTGAAAAGTGAAATGGAAAATACTGACTTCCCCAAGGATATTTCCTTGAATATTCTACTTTCTAATTTTTCAATCTTTTTATTTTATAAAGCTTTTAACTTGCAACTTTGAATTCAAACTTTTCAAAATATGAATTAAAAGCAAGACTTTTCCCAGAGGAATGACAGTGCTATAACTGTGACCTCGAGTGTGTATTCCTACAGAATGCATGTGTGAGTGGGTATGCAAATGCAAAACGGGCAGGTAAATAAGGAGGGCTGACAGGCGGAGCCATTCACGCCCCACCAATGGACATTTGATGCACTTGAAAGCCTTTTGCTGCTGCGCCAACAAGTCAGCTGACAGACTGCGAAGGATGGGGCCTCCTGACAAGTAAACACGCCCGCTCGCCACCCACTCGCCATAAAGCTCTCGAATGAAAGCGAAAGGTGAAAGGAGACTAGAAATATTAGAGGGCGGGTGACAGGAGTCTAGTGAAGCGGAGAGCAGAAACACGCTAACAAGCAAAATTATGCAAATCAAATTATACGATGACAATGTTAAGGCTGCTGGGCGGACAAGGCCACAAGGCCAGCGTGAGTGACACTGACAGCCTCTGATAAGGCTCCTGGTGGCCAGCTGAAGGAGCTGGAGGAGGAGCAGCAGAAGCACCAGCAACCATAGTTGACTTAGCCCAGTCGAACGTCAATAATGTGGAGAGGAAATGTGTCACAGTCCGGGACTTCCACAGCGACCGGGAATCGGAAGGAGCTCCTGGCGCAAGGGCAGCGAAAGCAACTAGAGATACACGGAGAGAAAATGTTAACTAAAATGTTTAAAGAATAAGTGCTTAACATTTTCCTAAAGCTATTATACCATCTATAAGTTATACATTTTATAGTTTTACAAGTGCCAGTAGTTTTTCTCCCTTTTTGCTTAGTGCAGCATTGAAAATCAATAGGAATCCATCATCTACCTTGGCCTTACTTCAAGTACCAAGTAACATTTCCTACGTTTTCCGCAGTGCAGCTTTGGGAATCGATAAAAACCAATTTCCACTCACTCATTCCGCACTCGCCCAGTGACGAGCGCAATCAATTACGAGATTTCCCACATGGCCGCCCACTCCTTGCCTCATCCGGCAGGAGTCTCGACTTACCATCATGTCCTCGGGTATGTAGAAATCGGATACGGCAGCTGCTAGGTAGAGCACGGCCCGCTCCTCGAAGGCGGCCAGGCACTCGCAGGCGGCGCGGAGCAGCCACATGTAGTCCACCACGCTGGTGAAGTTCACGTACAGGATCATCTGCGTTTCGCGGGCAATCTTGTACTTGGCCAGCACCGGCGCGAAAACGTCCACCGAGTCCGGCTTGATGGCTATCGTCGAGCTCTGGCTGTTGTCCGCAATGTCCAGCATGTCGAAGAACTGCTGGCCCGTGAAGTGACGGGTGAAGGGCTCCAGCGACTTGTGGCGGTGCATGAAGATCACGGCGTAGTCATGATCCAGGAAGTATTCCGCCGATGCGGAGCCCCGCGTGCCAGCGCTGAAGTTGTCCACAAACCGCACCGTGTTGTGCTCCAATGGAACTGTGGTGCCTCCGGACTGAAAAAGTAGAAAAACGACGATTTCTATTAGATATTTTTGTTCTGATTTATCAAAATTATGTTATTCAATGTGAGCTATTAAGAATTTGATTTAAGGTAAACCTGAAGATATAACAGTCTTTAGTGTAGGCAATACAATTATATTTTTGTGAATTTTTTTCTGCCAGCTATGTAGAGGGATTATACTATATGCATTATATTGTATTAATATCAATAAATAAATACTATTTCACTTCATCATGATAAATTCAGATGTTCAGAAAAAGTGCATATAAATTTGGTTACAGATATTTCATCTGAGGTTGTTAATCAAATCTGACATCGTTTGTATCTGCACATTGGCCATGAATCTTAAGAAGAGAAACTAATATGCCTTTTTGCTAACTATTCACGTAAATCATACAAGGATTATAATGCCCCAGAGAATAAACACCAGTTGACCCACTTAACTGTTTAACTTTCTACTTTAAGAGCCATTTACTGGCCTTTTAAAGTAAAGAAAAGCCAGTATAGAATAGCACATTACCAAAGTCTGCAATATAGGCATTACACTTTAATTATTTATATTAAGCTACTAAACAAAATTAAGCTAAGTATTATTTTTTCGTCAGGTTTGCTGAATATTTCGTATTTGTATTTTTATACATTTTCTATATCCAACTACAATGTTATTATTTTCTGTCCGTGAACTCATTTTGTTAGCTTTAGTTTTTCTTTAAATAAGAGGAAAAAATTAAGAAAATAACAAGAAAAAAATATATTGAATTAAAATAGGTATATAAAAAACCGACTGGAAAACCAATATTTTTAATTTAACAAAAATGTCTATGTTAGAAATACCATTAAAACAACTGAAAAACACAAAACTTAGTTAAATGAATGTAAATGAATGCCATCTTCAAGATAAACCTTAAACATGCGAGACTTTTCGCCTTCAAAAGAAGAAAACAGAAAAATAGTTTTAAAATGTTTTAACGCTTCTGGCATGTGCTTAACCTTAAAGACCTTTCTAGTTGGCTTAAATTTATGCACATCCAAACTATATGGGTTGTTTTTAGGGCCCCAGGCGCCCGTTTTGCCATTAAAGCTTTCACCAGCTTTGGGGTCAGCTTAACCCCAGACCGCCGGGCAGTTAATTAAGGGAGGAGGGGGGTTCTTGGAGCCCAGTCCCAATTCCAATCCGGGATTGGATTTCCATTTCCTGCTCACAGTGACGAGGACGATGCGATTCTGTAACTTGTTGTGCCGTTCGCAGAACTCCTTGAGCAGCGAGCGATTGTCCTCGAAATCCGCGGGCGGCAGGTGCGTGTTGTAGAAATCCTCCCAGTGCGTCATGTTTATCCCTTTTTATTTATGCTTTTCTGTGATTTCTGCTAATTGGCCGCCAAACGGAAGCTCGAAAATAACGGAAAGTTGCCTTTTTCCGCCGGAAACTATGCTCTGCTAATTAATAAACACAGAATGCGCGCGAGAGAAGGGTGGGCAAACGAAATTAATTAACACACGCAATTCACTAGTCGGCGTACTATTTTAATTGATTGATTTGCTTTGCTTTGCTTTGCTTTGCTTTGCACTTTCGGAAAATTGAGGAAGGGGGGCTGCTGGGGGCGGGGCAGGGGGCGGAGCGCTGCTTATCAATGGAACTGTAGAGAGGAGCGCGCGCGGAGAGAGCGGAACGGAGCGCTCTAAGAACCGGAGAGAGCGAACCAAAAAATGCTGAAAACGCAGCTGTGAAAATGCGATGCGATGTGCACGGCAGCGAGTTCCGCGGGATTCTGAACCGAAAGTGCGATGGGCAGTTGGACGGCGGAGCAGGACGAACCGGAACGCGGACAGGCGCACTCAAATTCGTATCTTTATTCGCACGAAACGAGCGAAAGGTTCAAAGTGCAGGCCAAAAAACGCGAGCTCCACGAAGAACAGCTGATGGCAGTGTTGGGGAACGAGCGAATAGGGGGCTGCGCGAACTGGTTCCGTCGAGTGCAGCAAACTTGTTGCTTGCTTCAAGACTAAGGTAGCCATAAAACGATCTGAAAACACTTTAAAGTGAAGTAATTTATCTTAAATAATCGGAGGACAATAATTTCTTCCTTCTTATCTGTCAGCTAGCAAGTAATATGGGTGAATATTCATCTTAATGAACTAGTTCACATCTTTTTGGTGCTTTCGAACCCACCAAGCGAAGTTGGCTGCGCTTCGCATACATTTTCAGTATTGTTAATTCCACAAAAGCGCGCCTAATTCAAATTTAAATAGAAATAATGCAAGTAAACATTTTAAACTTTTGCTTAGGCTTTCAAAGTAATAAATACATTTTAGAAGATTTAGCTTTTTACTTTGAGAAGAAAGCTATAGAAGTCTAATTCAAATTGTGTACAAAGTAATACTAAAAGAATTTATGACTTAATCTCCAACTAATTTTTGTATTACCATTGAGAAGTAATTAAATCTCCTGAGTGTTCCCAAAATAACAATGTTTTGTGTAAATCTTTAAAAGGTTTCGGAAAGGAATGATTCATCACCAATATACACCGTTTAAAACAAAAACGACAAAGTAGTGCTTAGTTTACATTTACAAATAGTTGTTTATTATCGATTACCAACGTGGGTTCTATGCATATTGTTAGTGCAAGGACGTACAAAAGAATCTCTAGAACAATATCACAGAAACTTAATAACTAATTGGGCTTGTCAACTGCGCTGTTAGAAATCGGAGTGACCTTTAGCATCGCCATTAGAGTGTAATTGGGAAGGCGGAATGCAATTCCGCTTGTCGTGGAAATTTATGGCATTCATTAGACGGATTGAGCGCTCAGCGCTCTCCATCCTCGTTGTCGCTGGGATTGTCGTCTGAATTGTGTGGTGAGTGTGTGCGCACTTTAAACCGCCATCAGGTCCAATTGTCGCACACCGGATCGGATCAAATCGGACCAGATTTCGAACGGACTACGCCCTAGGCGTCGTAGTCGGGGCGTATACGTGATAATCGACATCATCCGCTCCGCCCGCTTCCTCCTCCAGATCCCGGTTGACCAACCGTTCGCGCATTCCATACCGCTGCCTGTTAAGTGAAGAATTAGCACTCTGGAAATTAGTACAATTAGCCAAGAACTTACTCCAGGTGCGAGCGCCATATGACCAGGCCGGCGTACAGGGCGATGGAAACCAAGGCCAGTGCCACCACCACGATGCCGAGCAGCACGTGTCCCTGGCTAACCGCATCCGCTTGCACATCCACCGGTGTCACCTCGATGTTCTCGGAGGCAAAGGTCTCGGTGTCCGTGCTGAAAACGACGCCGCGTCCCTTGAAACGCTCCTCCAGGTCGTCCATGTCATCCATATTACTGTCATCCTGGTCAGCGTCTCCGGATTCTAGGATCTCCACATCGTACTTGTAGTTCCCGGCCAGCACCAAGTTGGTGGCCGAGTTCAGTTGGTCTTCGTCGCGGTGGGGAAACGATCGCTTCGGCTGCTCCTCCGATTCCGCATCTGAGTCGGAATTCAAGGAAGTATCCTGCAAAAAAAAAGCAATATAAAAATTTAATTAAATATTACAAAATCTAAATATTTTATCAGTATTTTTATAAAAATTTAGACCCTCTTTAGCCGTATCTTATCTATCTGCAATATCTCTTTTTAAACAAAAAGTGTCACAATTGTTTGCTGTGTAGTCTGGTCACCAAACAAAAAGAGGCTCGGTCATCGATGCGGCTTTCGCTGTCGGATTGAGTAATTGATTTCCCCAGGCACGTGATTCTATGCGAGTTCTATGCCGAATTTGGAAACTAGCTGTTGAAAGTGGGTGGTCTCTCTAACAGTGTGGGGGCGTTTTTAAGTTTCTTTTAAGAGGCTCACAACATCTTGAAATCATTTCTATTAATATAACATTTTTAAACATTTTTTACTATGCTAACGTCAGGTATTTTTCAGTAGCAAATGCTTGGAAATATGGGTTAAACGAATAAAATAGTGGAATGGGCTTCAACAGTGCCTATAAGTGAAGTATATATCAGATGATAAAAAAAAGTTACCGAAATTTGTACATATAACAATTAAACTGTTTTTATTACCAGTTAAAAGATTCAAGTAAGACAAGACAGTTAGAAATGAAAGTTTAAATCTTTTATTACCACGCTGACACTTTAGAGAAATTAAATTTAAAAGTAACAATAACATTTTTGTTAAGTATAATAAAAATTTAACGCGTGCTTAATTTTAAATCCAAAATTTTAAATTTCGAGTGTAAAAGTAAAGCCAATAGTTGGCTTGGTAACGAGACTAACAATTAAAAATAAAATAACAAGGAAATCGGAGCCCCGCTGACTCATAAACTGAAAATTTCGCCGCTTTGCGTAAGCCAAACTTTTCCCCATATTAATCATCACTTAAAGACCGACTCACCTTACAAATGGCTCAATTACCCAAGTAGAAGTGATAACAGTGGGCCTTTGATTACCAAGCACCTGTGAAATCTTCACTCATTTTTGCTTACAGCTGTTTAAATTAGCCATGTTTTTGGATTCCACCTTATCACTAAGGTCACTTGAACTTATCTTGCATAATCTGTTACCCATATTTTTCCACAAAGAATGTTAATAGCTACTTAAGTTGTTTACAAAACACGGACTACCCAGAGATCACTCTCGCTCGAAGCCCTTTGAACATGTAGATTGGTGACCCCGATGACCTCCGGGGGTCGGGATGTGACATTTGCAATTGGCGGTAACAACTTTTTACGACTACGTGACTGGTTTTCCTGACTCTGTCTCAATCCCATTTGGCGTATGCTACTTTATCTCGTGTAATTGTCCGATTTGTTTACAACTAACGACTTATAAGCAAGCCGTTTGGAAAGGTGACAAGCACGAGATCGGCTTGGGAGATCTCGAAAATCGTAATCTGATCGCACAGAAACGGGGGATTACCCAGGTGAGGGGAAGCGGGGTTTCTAAATCTGGCATTCAAACGTCACGGCAGCCGAGGAATTACCTAGAATCGGATTGCCACAGTGAGTCACTGAAAAAACTCAGGGGAGTTGGGGTATTATCTCTCTCAATTATAAGGCCCCCGTCGATGGAATTTCGTGACTAAGGCGATGAAAACCCTCTAGCTGCCCGTTTCTTTAATTTTATGCAAAGTTTCATTGCGTGTGCTTTTTCTTTTTGTCTTTATAAGCGTTTCTCGGCAGTTGGAGACCCCTTAAAAGGCAAACGCCGCGCGTGTCTTATGGCGGTTTTGCATTTAATCAAAGTGAAAATAAATAAACATTTTTAAAGCGTAAATTTCCGGTTCTGGGTAAAAATAAACCGAAAATGCATTGCCATTGGATCGTATTTCAGTGTCTGGGGTCTGTTCGCCACTTAATGCGTCAGTCGAAGTGGTTTCGAGTCGACTTTGTCCGAGTCTCCGGATCCTTAGCCTGGCCCAGTTACCCACCGTTTTGTTTTTGTTCTGTTGGCCAACTCACCTCCACGACAGCTGTCTTATTTTTGGACACCCTCTCCAGATCTTTTAGCTCCTCCGCCTGCGTTGGACTCACACTCAAATCCTGCGAGGGCTTGGCATGGGCTAAAAGAGAAAGCAATTAAGCAGAAATGAGATAATGCATTCGCTTGAATTAGCCGGGTATTTTGTATTTGGTATTTGGTTACAGCTTATCGGACTACCTGAACAGATCTTCCTGCTTTCAGGGGAAGCGCAAATATTTAACCCGAGATTTCGCAACTAGCACCTTTCAGCCTGCACAATGCGGTCCAGAGAATCAGATATGTTTGCTTATCTGCCAGCTCTGATTTTATTCAGAACTAACCAGACCCAGACAATACTGCTTTATCAGTTGACACTGAATTTTGGGTTACGCTTTTTGGCAAACAAAATGAGAGCGTGTTGGAGCTTATAAACCGGCATTAATTAGCACAGTCGGGGTTAACTTAATAGGAACGTAATACTTCACTTAAAATGTTAATTAATTTTACCACAGCAATAAAATAATATAAGCCATAATTCAGCAAAAAATGCTCTCTTATTATAAGTTAATTAAACCAGTTTTTAATATACCATTCCTATTTCTTTCACTGCAGCTGTATGATATTTTTTCAAAACCTGTCCACATATACTATATAGCACAAATCAAACAACAAACACATTTCTAATGCCGCAAACGCTTTGCCAATGCCGATCGTAGATTCGCATTCACGAAACGGGTCAAAAACGCTTGGTAGCTGGGAAGCTTCAAAAAAATTCCACAAACAAAAGCCGAAAAAATTCCAAAAAGCACATGATATTGCCAATGACGTCTTGCAATTTATTGCATTCGACATTCGTAAGTCACCCAGTTTGATTTCAGTACGTGACGATAGGCCAAAGCCTTGTCCCAGTGAAAACTTGATCCACTTTTGACAAGTGTCAAAGAGTCCAGAGTTTCTTATCATACAATCGCGGGTGCTAACATCTTTAGGGCAAATAATATAACTTAAGACTCTACTTATAAAGTTCTGACACCTTATAATCTTCAAGGTAAGACGGGTGTCTTTTGGCAATTTGTTATAAAATAATTTAGCTGGGGAAATAACTAGAGTATGCATAGGTTTATGTGAAAAACGCGTTATTAAGGCAATTTCGGTTCTAAATATTAATACCACTACGAAAATGTTAAAATATTCCAAGTACTAAGTGATTACGGTGATTACTCTAAATAATAAATTATAGAGAACTAATAAAATCGTTATATTTAGATCCTTCTGGTTTCCTTTCCCTTAACCATAGGTTATTATTTTGCCCACAACTGTTAAGTTACAATAACTGCGTATCAATCATGGTACCATAAAACGCAGAAAGCCCTGGCGAAATCTTATCTGCACTGGGGAGCCAGCTGGGGTCCCCGGGAATTAAAGTCTTGCAATTTAATTTCGCGACCTGGCGGGACCTTGATGGACGATTCATTGCGACGGGACGGCGGGCGGTCCCCTTCTTCAATAAAAGCCCCGATATTTATGCGCTGTAAACCTGGCTTACAAAAGACCAAACCCGAACCCGAACCGGACCTGGTCTTCGATCTTGGCAGGCCAGGCACTTAAGGCAAAAAGGGTGAACCGAACCGTAAACTGTTAACTATCTAGCCAAGTGGCCGCTCCATCGCGATCCCATCCAGCTGCGCTCGAAACTAGTTTCCCTGCAGAAGTGGAAATATCGAGTTGTGCGTCTGTTTGGGGCTATCTATCTTTTACGGTCGTTGTCATTGTAGATATATCTTGTAGTACTTACACTCTGCCAGCAGCAGCAGAACCAACAGAAGCGCGCTGCAGAGGGCGAAACTTTTCCGCAGAGCCATTTCGCGTTTTTTAAGATATGCGGGTACCGTCACTTCCTTTATCAATTAGCTCCTTATCACACACGCACAGGTAACGCGCCGCTCGATCGCTGGATATTTTTGGATGAATAAGCCTTCGCTTTATTCTGCGGGTCCACTTATAAAGTGTTTATTTGTTCCGCTGCCGAGTTTTGCGTGCGTTCGCGGCGAGCTTTCGGTTTGAAATGAGAAACTGAGAGGCAACGAAGTCTGGGTAAAGTAGTCGGTTAGCTCTGTTAAGCGATCAAGGTCTAAAGCAGTAACATTACTTGTTAACAGAAAGTTAGGGGTAGTCACTTGGTGCTTTTACATTTGTAAGGCTCCCTAATAACATACAATTTTAAAATAATTTATCAATTAAAAATTGAAAAAATGTAATTTGCTCTTTTTTACAGTTCTCTATCTTTTATCACTATGGACGGCAGTCCATGTAGTGACGAAGCGCACCAGGAGAGTGTGCGAAGGCGACTACTATTATATAGCCGCAAAATTGAAAATCTGCTGTGATAGTCCGATCGTAATGAGTAATACACCAATCGAAAGGTATTGCAATAACTTAAAGGATTGCATACCAAGACTTTAAGAAAATCAATTGGCTTGGGAGAGAGAGCGGTGAAAGTGAAAAAATGAAAATTTCGAAATTTGGAGCTGTTGGGGCCGGTGGGGATAAATTCCCCCTCGCAATGTTTTAGTTGTATTCCTTTTGAAAATACCCGTCGAATGAGGGGTCAAAATCCGACGCTCCGTTCAAAAGTTATAGCCAAAATAAGATTTCCTTCTTCTTCCCAAAATGAAAATTTAATTCTGTTTGTCAGTTTGTCAGTTTGTCAGTTTGTCCAAAACATGTTTCTTAAGTTTTGAAAATTTAATATGACGTTCATCCCATCGATATAAAAACCTTTTGTTCTACCACTTTTGGAAAAATCCGCTAGTTTAGCGGGAAAACAGCTATAAATAGCTAAAATTCGGAAAACCGTAACTTCTATACTACTAAAGCTACAGACTTGTGCTGCATCTTGTTTGAAAGGTATTTTTAAAAGCTATAAACGCCTTCTATATGCAATTTGTGTAAATGTAATAATTAAAAAGATATGAACAAAAGACAATTTTTTTTAAATTTTTTTTTTTTAGCTTTTTTTTATTTTTCTCAAAAACGGCTCTAACGATTTTCTTGAAAACTTTAAACTGTATAGCCCTTGAGATTCCTTAAATTTTGGTATATAACACATTACTGTAAAAAGTCACGTTTAAAAGTTATTTTTATACGAAAATAGCCACTTTTGCCAGCTCGAACAACTAAAGCTTCCTGGGTATTGAATTTTGTGTGAGGGTATCCGAACTGTATTTTAGGGTCATGGAATCAGTAAATTTGCACTTAAGAGTTCCATATAGGAATCTTTTGTTCTACGACTTTTGGAAAAAGCCGCTACTTTAGCGGGAAAAAGCTAAAAATAGCTAAATTTCGTTAGTTTGTAAGTTCTACACTACTAAAGGTACCGACATGTGCTATACCTCGTTTAAAAGGTATTTTGAAATACTTAAACGCCTTTTTAACTTAATTTGTTTAAATACAATGGCTTACAAATTATGATTGACCAATTTTAATTTAAATGTATATATTAGCTCCTATGAAAGCAAATGTAAACAAACAAAAACTTCTGATATCAAATAAAAACACCTCTTAACGAGGTAAAAAACTAGTGACGATCGCACCTTCAACATACAAAAGTTCAAATCGATTTCAATTGAATTGATTTGATTTGAATTGATTTGATTTCAAATCATTTGATTGATTTGAATCATGATTCAAATCATTTGATTTTATTTCAAATCATTTGAATTTGATTTGAATCATGATTTGAAATCAAATGAATCATGATTTGATTGATTCAAATCAAATTTGAATCATGATTCATTTGAATCATGATTTGAAATCAAATTTGAATCATGGTTCAAATCATTTGATTTTATTTCAAATCATTTGAATTGATTTGATTTGATTTGAAATCAAATCAATTCAAATCAAATTCAATTGATTTGAATTATGATTTGAATTTGATTTTATTTGAATCATGATTTGAAATCAAATGAATCATGATTTGATTGATTCATTTGATTTCAAATCATGATTCAAATCAAATTCAAATGATTTGAAATAAAATCAAATGATTTGAATCATGATTCAAATAAATCAAATGATTTGAAATCAAATCAATTCAAATCAAATTTGATTGATGTGAATCATGATTCAAATTTGATTTGAATCAATCAAATTATGATTCATTTGATTTTATTTGAATTATGATTTGAAATCAAATTTGATTTGATTTGAATTATGATTTGAAATCAAATGAATCTCATGATTCAAATCAAATTCAAATCAATTCAATTAATTTGAATCATGATTTGAAATCAAATTTGATTTGATTTGAATTATGATTTGATTTGAATCATGATTTGAAATCATTGAATCATGAATCAAATCAATTCAAATGATTTGAAATAAAATCAAATGATTTGAATCATGATTCAAATTTGATTTCAAATCATGATTCAAATCAATTGAATTGATTTGATTTGAATTGATTTGATTTCAAATCATTTGATTGATTTGATTCAAATCAAATTCAAATGATTTGAAATAAAATCAAATAATTTGAAATCAAATTTGAATCATGATTCATTTGAATCATGATTTGATATCAAATTTGAATCATGATTCAAATCATTTGATTTTATTTCAAATCATTTGAATTGATTTGATTTGATTTGATTTGATTTGATTTGATTTGATTCATGATTCAATGATTTCAAATCATGATTCAAAATTATGAATCATGATTTGAAATCAAATGAATCAATCAAATGATTTGAAATCAAATCAATTCAAATCAAATTCAATTGATTTGAATCATGATTTGAATTTGATTTTATTTGAATCATGATTTGAAATCAAATCAAATTCAAATGATTTGAAATAAAATCAAATGATTTGAATCATGATTCAAATAAATCAGATGATTTGAAATCAAATCAAATCAATTCAAATCAAATTCAATTGATGTGAATCATGATTTGAATTTGATTTTATTTAAATCATTCATTCATGATTCATTTGATTTCAAGTCAAATCATGATTCAAATAAAATCAAATTCAAATCATGATTCAAATCAATTGAATTTGATTTGAATTGATTTGATTTCAAATCATTTCATTGATTCATTTGATTCCAAATCATGATTCATGATTCATGAATCAAATCAAATCAAATCAATTCAAATGATTTGAAATAATTCATTTGATTTCAAATCATGATTCATTTGATTTCAAATCATGATTCAAATCAAATCAAATCAAATCAATTCAAATGATTTGAAATAAAATCAAATGATTTGAATCATGATTCAAATCAATCAAATGATTTGAAATCAAATCAATTCAAATCAAATCAATTCAATTGATTTGAATCATGATTTGAAATCAAATTTGAATCATGATTCATTTGAATCATGATTTGAAATCAAATTTGAATCATGATTCAAATCATTTGATTTTATTTCAAATCATTTGAATTGATTTGATTTGATTCATGAATCAATCAAATGATTTGAAATCAAATCAATTCAAATCAAATTCAATTGATTTGAATCATGATTTGAATTTGATTTTATTTGAATTATGATTTGAAATCAAATGAATCATGATTTGAAATCAAATGAATCATGATTTGATTGATTCATTTGATTTCAAATCATGATTCAAATCAAATTCAAATGATTTGAAATAAAATCAAATGATTTGAATCATGATTCAAATAAATCAAATCAAATTCAATTGATTTGAATCATGATTTGAATTTGATTTTATTTGAATCATGATATGAAATTTGAAATTTGATTTGATTTGAATTATGATTTGAAATCATTGAATCATTGATTTGATTTCAAATCATTTGATTTCAAATCATGATTCATTTGATTTCAAATCAAATCATGATTCAAATCAAATCAAATCAATTCAAATGATTTGAAATAAAATCAAATGATTTTTTAAGTTTTGAAAATTTGATATGACGTTCATCACATCGATATAAAAAACTTTTCTTCTACCACTTTTGGAAAAACTCGCTAGTTTAGCGGGAAAACAGCTATAAATAGCTAAAATTTGGAAAGCCGTAACTTCTATACTACTAAAGCTACAGACTTGTGCTGCATCTCGTTTGAAAGGTATTTTGAAATGCTATAAACGCCTTCTATATGCAATTTGTGTAAATGTAATAGTTAAAAAAATATGAACAAAAGACAATTTTTTAAACCTTTTTTTTTAGCTTTTTTTATTTTTTTCAAAAACGGCTCTAACGATTTTCTTTAAAACCTTAAACTGTGTAGCCCTTGAGATTCCTTAAATTTTGGTATATAACACATTACTGTAAAAAGTCACGTTTAAAAGTTATTTTTATACGAAAATAGCCACTGTTGCCAGCTCGAACAATTAACGCTCCCTGAGTATTGAATTTTGTGGGAGGGTATCCGAACTGTATTTTAGGGTCATGGAATCAGTAAATTTGCACTTAAGAGTTCCATATAGGAATGTTTTGTTCTACGACTTTTGGAAAAAGCCGCTACTTTAGCGGGAAAAAGCTAAAAATAGCTAAATTTCGTTAGTTTGTAAGTTCTACACTACTAAAGGTACCGACATGTGCTATACCTCGTTTAAAAGGTATTTTGAAATACTTAAACGCCTTTTTAACTTAATTTGTTTAAATACAATGGCTTACAAATTATGATTGACCAATTTAAATTTAAATGTATATATTAGCTCCTATGAGAGCAAATGTAAACAAACAAAAACTTCTGATATCAAATAAAAACACCTCTTAACGAGGTAAAAAACTAGTGACGATCGCACCTTCAACATACAAAAGTTCTGATATCAACATTTGTGACGAAAAATTATTACACTCGTCATTAAATAGACTTTCTAATATTTTTTTATTCGGCACGCTGCAATAGAAAATGCCTGTGAAGGGAAAAAGGCTGGAATAGTCTGCTAGGGCGGGCCGAATAAAAAAATATTAGAAAGTCTATTTAATGACGAGTGTAATAATTTTTCGTCACAAATGTTGATATCAGAACTTTTGTATGTTGAAGGTGCGATCGTCACTAGTTTTTTACCTCGTTAAGAGGTGTTTTTATTTGATTTATATCATTGTGGAATTCTTAGTTATAAAATAATTTGTTATATTGAGCAACAAACAACTCTTCCCACAAAGGACACATTTAGTGAATATAAACCTACAAAATAAAATAATAGAAAATTAAATGTGCCTTCTAAAATTGTAAATTATTATTGTAATTATTATATTTTTATAGGTATTTATTTAGTCAATTATTAAATTTTCTGAAATTTATGCTCAATCTATTTGTATTTAATTCTTAAAGGTATTTAAATCTTTTAATTCAATTATTAAAATTTCTGGAATATTTGCTCAAGCTATTAGTAATCCCAAATTAATAAAATGGATCATGTAAAAGTAATGGAGTTTTTATTTTATACACATAGTAGCCTGGCACTTATGGTTTTCCAACCATACACTTGGATGTCTGTGATTAAGGTAAGGTAACATAACACTTATATCGCAAGAATTCACCAGTTTGCTTCGATGGTATATCTCTAAAAATATTGAAGTATTTATTTTTACTAGACATTCTGAGTGGCGCTCGGGTGTACGTACAACTCTTTGGATTCCGTGTGTGTACAGTCAATTTGCAGAGCCCAAGCTGCCCTGGGCGAATTCCATATTTACAAGAGACGGGGGAGGATCGGGATCTGGATGATGGGGTCGGGATGGGGGCCTTAAAATACCTAAACTCAACTATACTCAACAATTTGTCTTATGGTCACTACTTGTACGCCTACGCCGGCGTTTGCACTTTAAGCTTCAACGTAAATAGATTTGGCCAGGACACCAGCGCAGGAACCACGATCCCGACGGCCAATCCCCGCACCGATCCCGGGAAGCCGTGGACCGGTGGGGGGCGTGGCCGCAAGGAACGGCCGATGCCGGCTGTCTGCTGCGCCCGGAATTCGTGGGGGAATCTTTCGCGGGACCGACCAGCAGCCCTCTGCGGACAAAACGTTTCAAAGCAATCGAAAGCGAAACCTTTGTACACACTTGATAGAGTCCTGCGGGTCGAGTTCGTGGTCAGTTCGTCGTCCGTGCTCAGTGTCCAGTGATCTTTTCGTTCGTTTTGTGGGTGAGAGAATGCGGGAAACTTAAACGGCTCGGTAAAAAAGAAAGGCTTGGGCAACGCGCTAAACAAATTGCTCCTGGCTGTTGGCCGACAGCTCCATCAGCCGCCAGGCAGCCTTGGGGTTGAGTTCGTTGCGGTCGCGGCACAGCACCCAGACGTAGTGCACCCGCATCACCTTCTCCGGATCGCCCTCGACCACCTGGTTCTTCTGGTCGCGCACGCACATGATCTGCTGCGCCTGGAAGGTGATTATCAGCACGGGTCCCTGCTCCATCACCTTGCCCATGGCCAGCTCGATGTTCTCGATGTCGAGGATCTTCGAGTCCAGATACATGCCGGCCTTCTTCGCCTCCTTGATGGGCGTCGCAATAATGTTGAACGTGCTCTCGAAGCACCAGTCCTTTAGGATCTCCAAATCGCCCCGGACAATCGACTCCAGGATGTTTGGAATGATGTCCGTTTCGCAGTCGTGCAGGAAGTCCTTCTGATCGAAGCTCGGATCGATCTTCACCAGCTCCGTCATCGTTTCGGAGAGCTCCGTCTTCGAGAAGAGGCCGCCCATCACGTCGGACACTTTGTCGGTGAGCAGGCGGGAGGCACGGATCACGGGATTCTCCGACTCGTCGTACTTCACCTTCCAGTCGAGCACCTTGTTCACGTAGGTGTTGTTGTTCTTGAAGTTCTCCCACGATTCGTAGAACTTGGAATCCTTGTGGAGCTCCACGCCTGTGGATTGAAATGAAAGTAAGTTAATGAACTTTGATCTTATTAAGAGAGAGACTAACCTGTTGCCTCCGTGTTGGGCTCCACAACGCGATCGCTGTCGCTCATGTCCAGTTGGACGCGCTTGCGCAGCTGGGCAGGCGCCCGGTAGACCCGGTTATCTATGCTCGCGTTGTCCATCTCCTTCTTGATGATCGTCGTCGTGCTGGATATGGCCTGGAAGGCGCTGGACTGGCCCAGCTTGCCGCTGGTGTCGGTGATCGTGTCGCTGACGCCCCTGGCCTTCTTCGACAGCTCCTCGGTGACCTTCTTGGCCAGGTCCGACTTGCTGGCGTCGTCCAGGACATCGCCCACGCGCTCTTTGATGGCGCCCAGCTGCTCCTTCAGCTTGCTGGACGACTTCTGCGCCTCCGACTCGACAATGTTGAACTTCTGTCGCGCCGACTTGAGGGCATCCGACTCCTCCAGCTTCTGGGCCTCCTCGCGGAACTTCCGGATGTTGTCCTTGATCTCCTTGTTCTTGTCCATCTCCGACTTCATGTTGTCGAAGAACTGCGAGAAGAAGCCGGCCCTGCGACCTGGCGCGCTATAAAAGCGGGGCTGCGGAGTAAAGTCATGACTTAATCCGGGTGCCACCTGCTGAGTTATGAGGCCCAGTCTAACCTGCTGCTGCTGCAGATTCTGCGACGCCTGCTGGCAGGTGAAGAGACAGGCGCGATCCCGCGCAAGGGCAGCTATTCTGTACTGCAAGGAGAAACGAAATCATTGAAAGCTCGTCCGTTTTAACCTCGAAATGGGCACATGTAAGGGGGATCTCTTGGGACACCAGTGCTGGCCGGGATCTGAGTGAACCTACCATCGTGGGGGATTGGGTGACCTTTCGCAGGGGCTTCGACCGGTGGCGAATGTTCGGGAGTATGGCGTCAGAGGCTCAAAACTTTATGTAATTCCTGCCGCGAACCACGCACGTATCAGTCAGCTGTTCTTGTCGTTCGTCGATAGTCCGATAGTCCCGGGCCGATATCATGGGCGCGGTATTCGAATTGTGTGCAATGATTGTTGTTGTATGACGGCGTGTGGCGCGTGTTTCAAGTTTTAGGAATTTTTTCCTATTTTTCGTTGATATGTCAGGCCAAGTTGATGTGTTTTTGGATTAGTTTAGTGACGGTTGGTGGTACAAGTACCACTAAATAAAAACATTTCTGTTAACATTTATGACCCCTGTCAATTGCTAATTGCTACGGAATCAACCATCAAAATATCGAGCCAACTATCGATATCAATTATTTTGTCCCACCCCTACCAGCCCGAACCGTTACTTGGCGCGCAGCTTTACCACAAATTCCAAGAACTACATTCCGCCGAGATTCTTCCGTTCTGTAGCTACAGCCATTTGCCTCCCGGGACATACGAATTAAGTTTTTTTTGACTCCGCGCCACGATTCGAGACCCAAAACCGAGTTCCGTTACATGTACATTATTATTAGATAAAGGAGTATCGCGAATACTTCAGTTAAGTAAAAACCCGATTCGGTTTTTGGACGAGAATCTGTGGAAAGCAGAGAGTGCGCGATAACGGTAACTTTCGACCCGGACTTTCGCCATGTTCCGCAGCAACTTGGAAGGCAGTGGCGCAGCAGCAGTAAGTGAGGACCCCCCTTTCCCCGCTCCCTCTCCTCACATAAAATTCCCCTCGTTCCAGGACAACTTTGCGGCATTCCACGCAAGAGGAGGACTCAACATGCTGGGCCTGCAGGACATGTACTTGGACACCAGTGGCGCCAACTCGACGGCCACTCTGAGTCCGCCCAGCACTCCCCTGACGCCGCTGACCCCTGACCCGTCGACTGCCCAGTCGACGCACTTCCCCCTGCTCGCGGACAGCGCCGCCTCTGCCAACAGCCTGCTGCTGCAGCGCCAGTACCACTACCACTTGCTGCTCCAGCAGCAGCAACAACAACTGGCCCTGGCGCAGCACCAATTGGCCTTGGCTGCCTCGGCGGCGGCGGCCAGTGCGAATCATCAGCAGAAGGACGAAATCGCAAGATCTTTGAAAATCTTTGCGCAGCTGACTACGGGCGCAGCAGGTGAGAAAAATAGTGCGCAGAGAGAATGCAGAAATGGCGTCGTTGAAAACGGAGTGGCAGAATCAACGGGCGAGAGCGAGACGACTAGCTGTGCAAGTACAGTTAGGCCAAAGTCAGGGGCTCGTTTTCAGAGGGGGTTAAGGAAAGCACAGCCCATAACATTCCAACTGGTGTTTATTTTATCTTTAAACAATGTGCATTATTTAAAAACAACTTAAAGAAACTTCCTATGCTTAATATGGTAGATGTATATGTGCATTTTTAAGTTTATTAGCGGTTTCTAAAAGTCCGAAATAAGATTTACTAAATCCCCTTTAAGAAATATTTCAAATCGCCTCTGGCTTTTCGGCCATTGACCTTCGCAACACTTGCGCTATTCCTTTTCCCAACACTCCAGTTCCAGAAAGCCATTTTGGCGTCATCTCTTCTCTTCTTTGCTCTGTTTACGATTCTTCGACGTTTGCTTCATCTTTCCCGTTTTCCGCAAAAACTAACGTGTTTTTAACAGTATAACTTTTTAAGTGCAACCTACAATCGAATAATTAGAAAATGTCTTTGATCAATCTGGACGCCGTAATGAAAAGCTTCCTATTCTCAGAAAACGCGGCTGGTTCCATGCAGGACGTAATGCAGGAGTTCGCAACCAACGGCTATGTGAGCGATGATATCAGCCGCTTTTCCTACGCTAGTGCTCCGCCACAGGCTCAGACGCCTCTGCCGGCGCAGCCGCAGCAGCAGCAACAACTACAGGGGATGCACATGCCACTGGGACGCAATCCTGGCCAGCCGCAGTCCAATGGATCGAACCTGATGTCCGTGGCCACTCCGCTGGCCACCCAATGGCTGCACAATTACCGCGAGCAGCTGAACAACGTGTGGCGTCACATGTCCTATATGCCCAATTCTAATAATTCCGTGGGTCAGTCCCAAGCATCAGTTACCATGTCCCCCAATCTCGGCGTGGGAATGGGTCTTGGATTGCCCGTGCAGGCCGACCAGCTGCGCGGTGCCTCCAATCCCAGCAACAATATTAACAACAAGGTGCATAAGCAGCGATACAATAACAGCAAGGCCAAAGAGGTGAGAGGATCTTATCAAGCTATCAAAAAAGTTCCTAAACTATCCTAAAACTATTGTAATGTCAACATGATTTCCAAGCTCAACGGTTAGTTAGCAAGTAACAGATCAGAAAACAAATGACTATAAACAATTAAATGAACTTTTTAATTAGGAAGAGGTAAAACTTATATGTATATTTAACAAATTCCTACCAAAAGCAACGACATTTAGTTAAAAATAAGATTTTAAATTAAGTTATTGATTAAATTTCGGATTTCAAGCCATTTTTTCAATTTTCGTAGAATTAAAAAACCATATCCTTATCTTACTATCCTTACTGTCTAAGTAAAGCATGACAAAATATTGAAAAAATCTTGAACTTATAAATAAGGTACTACAATTTTTTTACTGATCAATAGGTCAGAAAACTTTTGATGTTATCCTTTATAAACCATTGAACTTTTTATTTAGAAAGAGGGATTACTTATAAGTATATTTCATAATTTCCTACAAAAAAAGAACGACATTTAGTTACAAATAAGAAAACAACACTCAAATTAAGTTATTAGACAAATTTAAACTTTTAAACCAATTTTTCCATACCTTTTTCACTATTAGATCCAAAGATAATTTTTGAAAAATTCCAAAACCTTATAAATTTTCTATTATCTAAGAAAAAAAATGACAAAATCTTGAAAAAATTTACCTTTTTTAACTTTTAAATTAGATTCTACAACTTTTGTTACTGAACCATTACAGATCAGCCGCCACTGCGTCTTTTGTGAGAACAACAACGAACCAGAGGCGGTGGTCAACAGCCACACAGTGCGAGACAACTTCAACCGAGTGCTGTGCCCCAAGCTGCGCACCTACGTCTGCCCCATCTGCGGGGCATCTGGGGACTCGGCGCACACCATTAAGTACTGCCCCAAGAAGCCGATCATCACGATGGAGGATGCCATCAAGGCGGAGTCTTTCCGCCTGGCCAAGAGCAGTTACTACAAGCAGCAGATGAAGGTCTAGAGAAGAGACCCGGAAAATCCAGCAGGAGCAGAGGCTCTGGCAGCTTTTGCAGCGTTTATATAGCCAATAATATATATACGCGTTCCGATCGAAGCTGGATTAACCAGATAGACGATAACATTTAAATAGCGCCTGGCGCGTTCGATTTTATTGAGTTTCAGAGACTTATCTCGTGCCTATATTTCCTATAGTATAGTCAAAGACCTATCACTCAAATCAATTTCACTTATTCGAATATTTATGTCTGTTTCTGTGAAAAGGAAACCAATTTTGTAATGGAAGAGTACTCACAATATCGTAATATTTGTTCAATCGTCGTGGCCGATAGAAACATCTCACAATCCGAAAGTCAATCGATGGAATTGGTCTGCAACTGGTCGCCCTCATTTTGTCAAATGTTCGTTTGCGACCGAGTAAATTTCGATATATCTGCAAGGGATATATAATCTGTACTAAATTTTGAAATAGAACACTTTGAATTTCGAACTGTCAATCATAACAAATATTAGAATTAAATTTTAAGCTTGCTAAAGGAAAGAGCAAGGAACACTTTCGTTTAAAATCGGCTACACTTACATTTGTGAGTTTTTAAAATTTGACATTCCGCAGTTTTTCATTGATAAGCGAATAATATTTTTATTACATGTATCGCTAATTTTCATTCCAACACATATATCTATATAAATGTTATATATTTATTTAATTGTGTTCCCATTAATCAATATTCAAACACGTAAATCAAGATTATATTTTAATTTTTTTTATTTTTTTATAAAGATGTACATAACTGAAGTGGAAAAAATTCAATGGCGTCAAGTGCCAAATAAAGGTTTAGTTTACATTCTAATTATATAGTTTTCTTGATTTTGGAACTAATCTTTTTCTCCTTCGCGGCGCTTTTCGAAGAGGGCCAAGAAGATGCCATCGGTAAGATCGCTATCCGGCAGAGCGTATAGGCAGTTCTTGCCTATCTTGGGGTACTCCTTGTCGCCCACATTGTTCCACTTGTTGCGCAGCGCCTTCTTGCAGCTGAGGAGCTTAAAGGATGGATTGATCTGCAGGCAGCGCTGCACCACCTGTTCATTCTCCTCCTTCCACAGCGAACAGGTGCAGTAGGCGATACGCTTGACGTCGGGAAACGCGTTCATTGCGTGGGACAATATTTTGATCTGCAAACCAGCCAAGAGGTACAGCCGTCTGTCGTCCTTTGGCTCGTCGCACACGGTGATGCGGTTCTGCATTCCGCTGCCCGAGCAACTGGGGTCCACCAGGATGTACTCCACGCCCGGAAAGCGATCGGGTACTGCAAATGGGATATTATTAATGACTGGAGTTAAGCTATTCAAACAAGAACTCACAAAAGGTCAAGACATCGCCAAAAGTGGGGGACACAATCTCGCAGCCAGCCTGCTCGGTTATATCGCACAGATCCCTGTAGCGATCGGCGGACTGTTCCACCGCATAGATGCGTCCTTTGTTTTGCATCACGTTGCACAAGTGCGTCGTCTTCATTCCCGGTGCGGCGCACATGTCCAGCACAGTGGAACCCACTGGCGGAGCCAGTAGCTCGGCAGCCAGGCAGGTGGCCTTGTTCTGCAGTATAAACTTCTTGGTGCGCACCAGGTCATGGGTTACCCAATAGCTTCCCCACTTGGGATGGAAGATAAGCACGCCCTCCACATGCATGTCGATCATAAATTCATCCTCCTCCATAGATTTTACGGCCTTTAGGAAATCATCGTAGCTCGCGTCCGCCGGAATTTCCTTGCGACGCCACTCCTCGCCTGCCAAATGCTCCAGGGCCTCCGCCAAACTGTACAGATTCGTGTTGATGCGCACATACCGGGGATTGGGAGCTATTTGGTGGAATAGAAGGACAAATAAAATCAGCGTTTAAAAGTGTGTCAAATTGTGATTTATTTTGGGTAGTTACTGATCCTTGATAAGATTGAAAGTACGTGAAAACTTGAAATGGTTTGGTTTCAAGAATGGTTTTAAGTCTTTAGACTAGTCTTTTTTGGGACAACTTCAAGTGCTACTCATGTTACTGCTCCTTCTTGTTCTCCACAGCTTCAGGCTCTTCCTCCTCCTGCTGCTGCACCTGCTGCAATGGCGGAGGAGGCTTCTCGCGGAAGGCCTTGAGCACATACATGGCCACCACTAGGTTTACGACCAGAACAGCCGTGAGTACCGACCAACAGTTGACCGTAAAGACGTCCAAGTGCGGGAAGGACTCCTGCAGCCAGCTGCGCACCCCGTAGAAGCCCAAGAAGGGCAGCGTGAACATGAGAACACTGAAGGCCAGCAGCCAGAGGAAGACCTCGGTGCTGGTGTCCTCCTCCTGGGGATGCTGTTCCACCAGAGGAGCAACCTCTACTGGAGCAGCATCAGTCTGTTGTTTCTGCTGCTTCTTTTTGCCCATCTCAGCCGGCTAATACTGCTAGTTGTTGTTGTGGGTGGGTGGTAGTGAACCTGCCTTTCTTCTGGATTCCGGCTCCACTGACCGCCTGCTGCAGCTTCTCCTGGTAACTTCGCACCGTCTGCACGGGTCTGCTGTCGCCGTTCAGCTGCTTGCGGCCGAAGATCAGTTCGGTGACCAAAACCTTGGCCAAACAGGGCTCCAAACTCGGGTTATCCTTGAGCAGTCCCGCTTGCTCGATGGCGCTCTCGATGGCACCGCGATTATCGCTATAATGTTTCAGCACCGCCTGCAAACTGCGAACACGCTGCAAGAGAAAATATATATTTGCCTGATTCTTAGCCTGCAGGTCGTGGCCACTCACCGCATGCTTCTCCTCCGCTATCAGGGCCTTGATGGACTTCCTCTGCTGCAGCGCCGACTTCAGAATCTTGGCGGTCGCCCTGTATTGGGTGGGAACTTTCACGGAATGCGGTTTTTTACTCATTGTCGTCACGTGTGTTTGTTTGCACTAGTGGTGGGTTAGGTCACTCGCGATACTATCGATATATAAATTCCTTGGGTTGCCGGCAGGCTGGTTCACCAGAATAACGTGATCGGTGATTACTTTTTCAGAAGTGACTTGCACTCGTTTTTCAATACAGCATTGCCAGCCCAAAGTTTTAAGGGCCAATTTTCGCGCGAATCAGTTGCCATTTTAAAAGGATAACTATGAATTTTATCAGTTAAAGTCATAAACGTTTGTTAAGCGTTTTTCTCGAAAATTTCATAAATATAATTTTCAATGCATGCAAAAAAGACCATACAAAATATAATTAACCATTGAGAACATGAGAGGTATTTCGTTTTGCATGTACCCCTTTTTCGTAATGAATAAATAGTTTCGAAGATGTTTTCAAGAATGTGAAAATAACGGGTTTCTTTTAATGGTACTTTTTAAGAAAAGTTTACTCAACTTACGCAAATGCAATTTTTTAATTTTTTATTTTTTAATTTTAAACAACTTTGAGCATAAGATCGTTAACCTTATAAACGAATAGAAAAAAAATCCATTACAAATGAAAAAATTAAAAATAAAACATGATATCAAATTAATAAAGATTTATCCAAATATTTTATTTAATACACAGGTCGACAAAATCTTAACTTTTTGGCTCAACTTTTTAGCTTTTAGTCTACAATAAAAAATAAAATATTGTGACGTGACTCCTTTTTTTAGTCTTGTTTATTTTTGTGCCAACCAGAGATATTTTTCAAAAAATATTTTTAACTTTTGTTTTTAAATTTAATTATTATTAGTTATTCATAACAAAACAACATAAAAAAAAGTGAACATTAGTCATAGTATCCAAAAAATAGTTTTTAAATTAAAAGAAGGCCAATATAATATTTGTTGATAAAAACATTTACATTTAACTGGTCAGTAAACCATCATAGGAATGTGGTCCTAAAGAGAGTCGGTGAAATCGAAAGGGTCAAAGACACCCGGAAGGATGTGGATGCAGGATGATGGATGGGATGGCTGGATATTTTTTGTTCCCTCTCGCCAGAATTTGGCCCAATTAAATTCGGTATTCCAAAAAAAAGAGCACGCCTCCCTCCCCGAACACATAAAAAACGGAGGCGCCAGAAGAGCCGGGAACAAAAAACCGGAATCGAGAGAGAGAGCGCGAGAGAAAGAGAGCGACACTGCACACATAAAAAACATAAACAAGCCTTTTTTCAATACGTGCGAGAGAGAAAAGAGAGCCAGAGCGATTCCTCAATTTCCCTCCCTCACTAGATTGGTAAAAAAACGCGCTCTTCGCTGTGATTTTTTTCACTTTTCGAACGAACGCGAACACGAACGGTTATTCTGCTTTTTAGCTCCTCTTGTTCTGTTTTTGTGTTTGCCGCGACGTAAACAACCGAAGAGCGGAGCTTGCGCCTCCTCCGCCCCACGCCCCCCTCGCAACGTGTGCTCGTTGTAAGTGCAATTAATCGTCGTTGGCCGCCGAAAAAAATTCGGGAGTCCGAAAAGGTTGACAAAAAAGGGCAACAAAAAGCACAAGTGCAGAAAAAAGCAGAAACTTGCGAACGCGTGTGTGTGAGTGCTGGTGTGCGTTGGTGTCCGTGTGTATATTTTTGGCGTGCGCGGCCATTTTTTCTTGTTGCCACTCGAGAGTCTCTTCTGTGTGCGAAAGAGAGGCCCGACCGCCCGCAAAGAAGACGTAGCAAACTACGCAAATCCCCACTAAATTCGCTAATTTGCGCAAAATAAATCAATCGCGGGAGGCGCCGAGAAACAAACAAAACGTACAAAAATAAAGTGCCGCAAACCACAAACAATTTACCTGCGTGTGTGCCCGTGTCTGTGTGTTTGCCAAAGAGGCGAGCTCACCCAACCACCCACAATCAGTCGGCGAACACGTGCTCCAAAATATCAACAAAACTTGGCCCACAAATATAAAAAAGGGGCAACAACTGCATCGGAACCGAACGCCGGAACACAAAAGGCACTTTCAAATTGGTTAGTATTTTACGATGCACGAGCATGTTTTATTTATTTGCCTTATTGGACAAACACACTTGGCGATTCATGTTCGAGAGTGTTTGTTTCTCTTTCCCGCGCTCGACGCACAGCGGAAACTATGACATAATTCCAGAACTTAGTAACATTTAAAAAAGTATAGTCACAGAAATTGTTCCTCTAAGGGGCTCTTTATAAATATGTTTTTTAATTAGATTTAATTCAGAGTCTCCTTTATATTTATAATTATTTTTTACGTTGGTTCAGGTGTTTTCGATGGTCAGAAAAACAATATAATGTTGAACTATTTTTCAGAAATATCAATTTACTAAAATTTTGTCTATATTCAAATTGATTTTTTATAAATTTCACCAATTTCTTGCATTCTTATAAATTTTTAGTCTAAAAAAAAAGTTGGTTCACTATTTAATGTCTTATGACTTATTATTTTAGTAAAATTTCTTAAAATATCTTAATCTAACTATTTAATAAAATTTGAAACATTTCTCAAAAATAAATTTAATTTAAAAATAAGTCAATTTAAGTTCCAATACTGTTTGCCCCACTGTTCCGCTGGTCAAATATTAAAGCTTTTTATTTTATTCTCTTTCTGCAGAAATAATGTAAAATACTTTGTTGTTGGCCAAGTGTGACTGTCAACAAATAATTAAGCTGGAACAATTTGAAAACCATTTTTGCAAACGTGCTCCATTATTTGACCATCCGTTTTGTCGCTTGTTTGACTCTAATGTTCGTTCCCATTCATTCGGTGGCGGTTTTTTTTTTACGTTTGTATGTCGTTGTCTTTTTTATCTTCCACTTTTTTTGTATTCATCAAATATTCGCTGCTTTTTTCGCACACATGTCGCCCCCAACCAAAAAGAGAGAGAGAGGGAGAGCGGTCCGAATTGCGGTTATTGCGCTGTTGTTGTTGTTGACCGCCCGCTCGTTTGTTTATGTTGCTCTCTTGCTCGCTCTTCTGCTCTCTTTTGTTTTCAGCTGCTCGCGCTCAATTAATTTTCGTTGATTCGTTTTTTGTGTGTAGTGTAGGTTTTTTGTGTATACCATTTTATTTATATGCTTTTTGGGCTTCTTTTTTTTCTGTTTTTTTTTGGGGGGTTTCTTTTTGTTGTATTTTTGGGGCCTGCCCGATTGCGTTTATTTATTCCCCATTTGCATTTATCAGGTTGAGTGGCCGATTTTCCGTGTTTCTAGATCTGGTAGTTACACGATTACGATTACGGCTTCTGTTTTTTGTTCGTCGCCACTTTCGCTTATGTTGTTTTATCGCAATTGTTTGAGCGGCAAACAATTGTTTGTTTGTCGCCCCTTCTCGCTCTAAATGTGCGCAACAAGCGAATGGTGCGTCCTTTTTTTTGCATTACATTACCCTTCCCCTCCTCTCTCCCCTCCACGGAATTCCTGCTACCATGCTGTTCAATTGTCCAACGTCAGCACTAACAACAACAACAAAACCGGTTATTTTGACCAGGCAGAAAAAAAAACGAAAAAAAAACAAAAACCAAAAATTGAATTTACCTCTGACGTCAGCACCCACCCGACCAAAAGGTCGAAATCAAATTCGCGCGCAAAACTTTCAGACTTGCGTATTGTATTTCCCCGTAACAAAGTATTAGTTTATTATAGTAAAAGTAAGTTCATGCTAAAATTCAAAATATAATTTTCGATTTGTTTTTCAAACGTAAGTTACACACATTAAAATTCCTACGGACCTATCCAATTTAGAATGAGGACCCTAAGGTATTGTTTTTTATTGACTATGGTGAACAGGATTACAACCAAATCCGAATTTATTACAGTTTATATTATGCTATAAATACTACAGTCACTAAAATTCGGGGAATAAATCTTATTCACCCCGTTTAAACAAATAAACTCATCCTTTATAAACTTCAATTTGTTTTTAGGCTTATCTCAACCAATCCATTTTGTTTTCGCTTCCTTGTTGAATCAACGAGCAAACATTTTGAAAATAAATTGATAAAATTTCAAAATATTTTTTAACATTACGAATACGTATATCAATTCCAGTGCCTGGTACGGATTTAAAGCAATTTTAAAAAATCTCCTTAATTTTAGCAGAATTTTTTCACATTTCCTGGAAATGGAATTAGATAAGTTTGTGTTCTCAGAATTTAATCTAAAGTTTTATATCCTGTTTTTGAATTTTTAATTGACTATAAATTGCGAAATGGACATTTAAAATTTCTCTGCCCATTATTCTGGTTTTTATACCCCAAGAACATCATTGGTCCATCTAGAATTCTGCTTTGCTGCCCCAAAAAGTGCCGGAGATGTAGTTGCATTCAGTTCTCGAGGTTGTTGACACGTTCCGTTGGCGCCCCTGACTTTTTTTCTTGCCAGCCCATCACCTCCCCACAGAGTAACCGCGATTGCGATTTCGGTTCTTCAGGCCAAAAGCGATTCCATTTCGCTTTCCATCGTGTTGTCACCAACAATTTCTGGCCGCAAGCGCCTTTTTTGTTTATCTTGTGATTTTTTCCGTTGACCAACTCTTTTTTGCCCGGCATTGTTATTAATTCTTTTCGCTTTTTGCGCTCCATTGGCAACTTTTTTACTGGGCTGTGCAGTTGGGGGTATAATATCTTCTTGGGCCAGCTTTTTGACTTTTGTTCCAGAGCGCAGCACGTTTAATTCACAAACAATTAATTAATTCATGCACATTTATGTTAATGTGCAGAAATTAATGTACCCAAAGGCGGGGAGTAGAGCGGCAAAGTGGCGGAATCGAAAAGTAGTTTAAGCACTTGTGCCGACTGGGCACAATTTTGTGGATTCAAGAATTACAATATTTCTGTACTTTCAGCACAAAAACGCGCCGAGTTGTGTAAGCCCGCCAGTGGAGTGTCGACTTCCCGACGACGAAGACCGACCGCTTCATTCTTCTTTCGCCCACCCCCCTTGGATAGGCTCAGTTCGCTGCCAGCCACGCCCCCAAGCTGGACGCTCGCACCATCGCCTACCGCCCGCTGACCCTTGGCGGCCACCAGACGCCGCTTATGGCCGAACTGCCGACGGCGCCGAACGGCGTCCCCAGCGGCGATTACCTGCACCGCTCCATCGACCAGCTGCGTTCCCTGGGTCACCTGACCACTGCCCAACTGGTCCACGATTACAAGCCCTTCAACATCAGCGAGTTCCGCCAGAATGTCGCCGAGCGACTGGACTACTCGCTGAAGAACGGCCTGGTGCAGCACCAGCAGCAAATGGTCATGGAGCAGCAGCCACATCCCGATGCGCAGCAGCAGCAGCAGCATCTGCACCACCCACAGCAGCAGCAGCAGCATCCGCCGCAGCTGAAGGTCAGCTACAGTGCGCCCAACTCACCGCCCACGCCACACGAGCAGCAGGAGCAGAAGGTGAGTGTCTAAATCTTATAAATCTAAAATGATTTTAAAATAATTATATTTGAAAAAATAATTTTAAAGCTGTATTAAATAAAAATCATAAAATTTAACAAATATTTTAAAGCTTTATTTCAAAGCAATTATAAAATCCAAAAGATTTTACCATCTTTGTACTCTAAGAACCCTTTTTTTCGTTTAAAACTCTGCACGGCTTTAAACTTTGAATTCCCAAACGTTTTTAAGGTGTAAATCCTACTTTAAATTTATCATAAGGACAAGAAACATTTGTATTTTAATCATTGTACTTTAAACTCTGAATTCCTAACGTTTTCAAGGTGTAAACCCTACTTTAAATTTATCAAACGAACAAGAGGAGTTCATATTTTAATCATTGTACTTCATTTTTATTTTAATTCAAATTAAATTGAATTTGTTAGTAATTAAATTCCATATATAATAGTCAACGATCGCTTACAACGATTGGTTTAAAGATCACCTGCTGTATTATAATATTAAGTGGACCATTTTTAAACTGATGTCTTTTAGTAAAAAGCTAAATTTGCTTCACAGCTTTACTTAATTAATTTAAAAATCGAAATAAAACGAAATATTTTAACACCTTACCTCTTTCTTTTCAGTACGATCCGAGTCGATCGCCGCCGCGTCAGCAGATGAGCAGCGCCAGTGGAAGCGGCAGCAACGGATCCTCGCCGGAGGAGGAGAGTCGCCGGGGCGGCGACGGTGATCAGGCAAAGCCCTACAAGTGCGGCTCGTGCAGCAAGTCCTTTGCCAACTCCTCGTACCTGTCGCAGCACACGCGGATCCACCTGGGAATCAAGCCGTACCGCTGCGAGATCTGCCAGCGCAAGTTCACGCAGCTATCGCATCTGCAGCAGCACATCCGTACGCACACGGGCGACAAACCGTACAAGTGCCGGCACGCCGGCTGCCCGAAGGCCTTCTCGCAGCTCTCCAATCTGCAGTCGCACTCGCGTTGCCATCAGACCGACAAGCCGTTCAAGTGCAACTCCTGCTACAAGTGCTTCGGCGACGAGATGACCCTGCTGGAGCACATACCCAAGCACAAGGACTCCAAGCACCTGAAGACGCACATCTGCAGTCTGTGCGGCAAGTCGTACACGCAGGAGACCTACCTGCAGAAGCATCTGCAGAAGCACGCCGAGAAGGCGGAGAAGCAGCAGCACCGGCACACGGCCCAGGTGGCTGCCCACCAGCAGCACGTTCCGGCGAGTGGGATCGGCCTGAATCTGCAGCGCCAGGCCATGAACGATGTGAATGCCGCCTACTGGGCGAAGATGGGAGCAGATAGTGCGGCGGCCTCGCTGGCGGAGGCCATTCAGCAACAGTTGCCGCAGGCCGCAGGTCAGCCATACGGCAATTTCGCCTCCCTGCAGCAGCAACATCAGCAGCAGCAACAGGAGCTGCTGCAGCAGCATCATCAGCGTCTGGCGGACACTCCCGGGCATTCGCACAGTCCGCACGAGGAGGCGGCGGGCGAGGATCTCGTCCTGCGTCAGTCCACGCCACAACATCACCTCCAGCAGCAGCAGCAGCAACAGCAGGCGCAGCAGCAACAACAGGCGCAGCATCAGCCATCGCCTGGTCAAGGATCCTCGGCCTTCACTCCACTGGCAGCCACTGTGGCTCCACCACCGCCGCCACATCTTCAACAGCATCGCGGACCGCCGGCGGCCACCGCCGCCTATCTCTATCAGCAGAACGCGGCGGCTGCAGCGGCCGCCTTCCCCACGCAGCTCATCTCGCTGCACCAAATCCGCAACTATGCCCATCAGCCAGGAGCGGCGGGCCTCATCGCTGGCGATCACCTCACCCTGGGCCTGAGCGCCGTGAATGCCACCAAGGAAAAGGCGCAATAGTACAGGCCAGGTCGTGGCCAAAAGAGGCAGCAACGATGACATTAGCCTAAGGTCTCCGTTTAAACTGGTGTGGATTTAAGTAAGAACTCTATTTGAATCCACATCAATTGAAACAATTAGAGTAAAAATAAGTTATGCTTAGATAGTCGCAAGTTGGCAGTGGCGTAGGAGCTGGGATTGTTACTGGTTTCCCTTAGACATTCTTCCAACACATAAATTATATTTAGATAACCCAAAAGTTGTATACGATTCGGCCAAAATCAACTCCATCACTGCCTAAACCAATAAGGAAACCAACTACAATCCACTGTTCTTTCGCCCTGCTCAACTTAAAGTTTAAGAACATTATATCTAGGACAACTCAGGATTTTCTACACGATATTTATGCCTATATCTATAAGCAATATTCAAATTAAAACTCTGAACTATTTGAAGTAGACGATTTTGAATAGCTCACATTTTTAATATCAGCTAGGAGCCTTACAAAGTACGGCGTTACCCATTAGTACTAAGAATATATTTGATAGTGTACATAGATGTATGTAAAAGTGTGCTGTACATTTAAACGTATCAACCTAGGACCCTAGATACTTGCTAATTTATCAACTAACTAGTAAGGAGTAAGGATATTTTCTACTTGTTAGGCAAGCTGAAAGAGAAATCGATTTGAAAATGTAAAATTCAACCAATAAAGTTTAAACTTATTTATAAAATAATTATTTCTGTGTGTTTTAAACCTTCCACAAGATTTGCATTTTCATTGGCGAATCGAAGCGGATCGAATATATGCAACGATCCAGAAAAATGCAACCTAATCCGCTTAGCAACCTTAAGACGGACTTCTTTGTGCCCGAGGCGACATAAGAGATTTATGTTCACCCCATATAATCGGAGTCTCCACAGGGAAATGTAGGGCTACGATCGTATCGAAGTTTGTCCTTAAATTTCTCTCGGCCGCAGCTGCTGTTCGGCCAAAGACGTGACAGTGACGTAGTTTGAGGGGGTCAACCCTCACTAAAAAGTGCTCGTCAGATTCTTCCCTCAATTCGAAATGGCTGGCTACGCTCTGATGGCGAATAGTGATTGATGACTGATTGAGTCTTGAAATTTTCGGCTGATCGGCGAGGAGATTAATGAGAATGATTCATTTGACTTGATTCGCATTGAGTTCCTTTCAACATGCTTTGCATATGCGGGTATTTTATACCTAATATAAAACTAGTTCATCCAACGCCGTTAAAAATTTAAGTCTTCTTCAGCAGTCACGATTTGCAACTTCAAATCGGCAATGTACTTAAGAATCTTCTTGGATGAATGAATGATGGAAGCTGATGGATTTATAGAGATTCAAAGACCTTTGACGGATTAGTAAACCGATAGTTTTTTATGGAAGTCAAAGGAACTTCAAAGTTTCATCCAGTCCATGAATATCTCCGGAGTGTATATATATAAATATCAGACAAAAACGAATTTCATAGCTAATTAATAAAACAATAAATTTAAAAGTCCCACACAAAAACCAGTTTAAGTTGTTAACAGGTGCTTTTTTCATTATTATATTTTCTCTCTTTATTTATTTATCTTTTTTTTCGCCTTCGTCTTTGCTGAGCACAGCGTTTGAATGGAATTATAAATAGCAGCAAATTTGTGTTAAACACACAAAAAAGTAAAATGCTTTTTATGATCTTTTTATGCCGCAAATAAATAAGAAATAAAATCTCCTAAGTAGCTCATAAAAATTGGCCAGACAAAGGGGATTGTTGGATTGTTCAATAGACACCCACAAAGAGTTAAGGAAACGACAATGAAGTTGATAGAGATATAAACGCCCTAAAAGGATTTCTTCCAATTGTGTTTTTGTCAACAAAGATCGTTGTCTTTTGCCGAGGATTGTGCGAATATTCGGCACGATCCTTTGGCGAATGAGAGAAAAAAGGACGCCCTTGAAGATACAAGGATACAAGGATCGCTGACAATAAACCAACAAATCATCAAAGCAGAATTGGCAAACACACCGCAAAGGACAAAGGCGCGGCACAAAGGGATTGCCGATCGATAATCGATCATTTGGCAGTTGTGCAAAATGCAAAACAAAGGCCACAATGCAAAAATGAGGCGAAAGGGGAAACTTTTTAGCACATCTCGAACCCTTCGCTTCGAGGGCTCTGCAACCCAATGTTTGCCAATAATTTAATTGATAAATGATTTGATTTCTGCCAGCGATCGTCATCGATCATAGACGCATTCACGCATTGAAGTTTCTCCATTCGAGCCCTGTCTACTCGCGATTAGCATATCAATGCGCATTATTATAGCATGCACTAATGATCATGGGATTGTAGTTTGGTGGTTATTGTCCCGCTACCCGATCTTCAGCTTCGGGTTCCTTTTTTCTTGGGCCTGGGATGTCTTGTCTCTGGGTGCTGAAATCATCACGATTCCGTCCGTTGTGCGACTCATCAGGCTTTGTTATGCTAACTATGAGAAAAAATGTGGCCGAGGATCTTCTCTGCGGGTCCTGACGGCGTCCTTGGGCCTGGGACTGTCACTTTTACTTGCAGCTTGATCGATATGATAATTAGAATGCAGTGCCTGAGGCCAGCAGGGAACTCTTCCTTGAGAGTGGCATCTGTCTGAGAGATATGTGATGTGAGATCCTCAGCAAGGTCATTGAAAAAACGTGGATAGAATTTTAAGTTTAATTTAAGATCATATTTTATCACAGTTTTTCTCAAATATATTTTGTTTACATTTTTTCTTATTGAAGTTGGTTTTAAAAAACCCAAACATTTTCGTTTTTATTTATTTAGTTTGTAATAGGAATTTAAGGACAATGCTAACAACCTTTAAGTAATGCCTTACAAGCTCAGAGACTTCTGAAATTATTTTGAATTTATATTTATGTTATTTATAAAATCTGTATTAAAACAATTCATCTAACAACACAAAGATTTCACTCTTAAATTCCTAACCCAAGGTTATTGGCATTTCAGCTTCCCTTTTCACTTTTCTCCCAGTGCAATACAATCCATTTATCAGTTTTGAGGGAAGGGCATTATGCAAACGACTTGCATTTGAATATTGTCTATGCGTTTTCAATGCCAAGAGATCATTTCGGTGCTGCAGAGAGGCGTCATCAAAGCCATCAATAGATTTATGGTTTCTAAACTCAGACCCGAAATCAAAACACACAAGCAGGCAGTTCAGTTTGGCTAGGGAGGGAGATAGATAGGATCCGACCATCCAGGGGTTGCACACAAAACATCCGGGGATCGCCGACAGAAGAAAAAACCTTTCACCCCAGCAAAAGGTCCTCTTCTTAGCATAAGAAAGGGATCCTTTCTCTAGCGCAACCCGTTCGCGAATGGCATTTAGTCGGTTCGCCATTCAGCAATTCTTTTGGATAAACTATTTATGAAATTATTAGACAATGCACACAATATGCGGATACACTCCACCGATTAGCCCGGGGCTCGAACGAATAAGATCGAAGAGGAGTGGAAGGTGTGTATGTTTTTCCCATAACTTCTTGTTCCTGTGGCATTTGCATTTTGGCCTTTTTTCTCCTCGCTCCTCGACAAAATATAGCTTTGTGCTCCGCCGTATTGTTCGATTCTAATAAGGTGCGATATTGTGAAATTTGATGCGATTTTCGTTAGCTATTCTTATATCCATATTTGCACCCTTTGGCTGATTTCACATTATATTCGCACACTAGAATTGGAGGGCACACTCTGCGCTATTGTTGAGGTTTCTGGGCCCGTGTTTGGATTGATTTCCCTTTATCATTTCGATTGGTTTGTAATTGATACTTAAGCGAGTATAGGCATATTGCAAAAAAGGATTTGAAGCACTTTAATTAAACGTTTCGATTGCAGATTTTGCTAGTAAATCGTTGAGGATTAAGAGTTTGATGAATATTTGCATTTTACTTGTAATATCATATGTCTGAAGTTGATTTATGAATTTAAGGGAGATTTCTATTAAAAACTAGTTTTATAACCCTCCAGATACTTAGACTCCTGTCTTCTTTTATCTGAGAATAGCAGATGTTTGATGAAGGATAACTTTACTTTCACAGATTGTAATTTCTACTTCCCTGTGTCTTCATCTTTTTTTTAAACAAAACTAAATAGATTGGCTAAAATTATTTAAGTTTTAGTGTAAATTTATGTTATGGGAATTTTTTTTTTTTTTTTTATTTTAACATTTTTTAAAAATCGTTGTTAACAGCATTTTAATCACTTTTACATTTTTCCCATGAGTCCATGATTTCTTTTAGAACTCAATCAAAAAGTTTCTCCCAGGATTACTTTTTTTCAAAAAGGCTTTTTAAACACTTAACAATGTTTACAATTGCTCAACAAAACCCCAGATTTTTTGCTTACACCCATCACTTACAATTTACAATTCCAATCCTTGACATCCAACACGTGTTAAATTTCGTACAAAAAACTTTATTCAAAAGACAAAAAACGAAAATTAACTGCGTAATTGAAAGAAGTGAATCAGGAAACCGGATTTTACCCTGAAATGGCGCAACAACAAAAATTTAATTAACATTTTCGCACCGCCTATCAAAGATAAAAAAACAGCTTGAAAAAAGTACCCAAAAAAAAGGATAAAAAACTACAGTAACAAGACTTTAGTAGACGATCCTTTTCACCGAAACGAAGAAAAAAACTTGTCACACGGGATTTCAATATTCAAAATAGGAGAGAAGAAAAAAACGCGGCAAAAAAGCAGAACTCCGTCCAATTATAAACGACTTTTTTCGGTAGTCAAGCATAAAAAATTAGGGAATCGGAAAAAAATGGGTTAAAAAACTGATGAGCCCAACAATAAGGGCTGCAAGGATGAGCATGCATCCTGATGATTTTTTTTCTTCCCCGCGTTTTTTGGTGCGGACACAAAAAATCACCCAAAAAAGTATGCAATGGGCGGCATTTGGTTACCTAATTTGAATATTTGGCGCTGGAAATTTTCTCACGATTTTTTTGTTCTCCCTGCGAGGCTACCCACAAGGCTCAAGACACATTGGGCTCAGGGTGACGATCAAGGATAAAGGACTCGGCGCAAAGACGCAGACGGCAGAAGACAAGGAGTGGAAAAAAAATCCGGATTTTTTGCCTCATTTCCATGCGGAAGCGATTCCTTGCCGAACCACCAAGGGTGCGAGGACAAAAGGACGAAAGGATGCCTTAATTTATGCACAACACGTCCGCGGATCGGACGCCAGCCGTTGTCCTCAAAGGGTTGAATCCTTGATCCTGTCCCGGGACATAGCCTCGCATTTGCATACGTGATCAAGGAAAAGGGTGTGTCGCAGGACAGGGTCAAACATCATTTTTCATTTATCCTCCGCAAAAAAATCGAGCTAGAATTGAAAAAACGCTGTTTTTTCGAATAGAAAAATACGCAAATTATTTAAATTTGATTTTTTTCGGGAATTTTTGTTAATGCGCAGGATCTAAATCTAAACCGTCAGCATCCTCAAGAAACTGGGTCACTTTTCTATGCAAACAGATTGCTGAGGGACAGGAAACCACCCTAAGATCCGGTCTTGCATCCTAGCACATCCTTTTGATCAGGATGCTTTTCTTTCGGTTATTTGTTTATCTATTTTACATACTCCGGCTTTGTATCCGCCCATTTGTACTGCCTCGGGAAAGATTCTAAATCAATATTTGCTCATTAGTCTCATTCAATAATTTTAATTATAATAATTTGCATTTGTTCTCGATGGCAAAAAGAAAAATTGATCAAGCAGCTGTACAAACTTTAAGGGGTTAAGAAATCTTCTGGTTTATAAAATATGACATTTAAGATATCTTCCCATTATTAATAAATTTTTTATATTATTGTTACATTTTGCGAAATACCAAAAAAGTGGTCTGATGCAAGATAAAAATGTTTTTGAAATCACTTAAAAATCACATGGAAATAAAATGAACTAACCCGCCAAAAATTCCAAGCTCATCGCTGAAAATTAATCAAATTATACCCTATCACCAGATAAGCGAAATAATATCCATCAAATTCTTTAAGATGTATACAAAACCGAAAATTATGCAAAATTTATTCAGACGCTCAAATAAAAATTTTGCAGACTCAAGCAACTTTTTTGTTTTGTCAAAAATGAGCTTTGTTTTGCGTGAAATTAATTAAGTTACTTAATTATAGGTACAAGATGGTCAAAGATCGATTCCTCCCTTACCTTTCCCATTTCCTCTTCATCATCAAACAGGTCGACTTGTGCCAAAACTCATTTTTCGAAAGCTTCACCTGTGTCCATTAGTGGGAGTTGTGTATGGAGATCACTTTGGCCAACCGCCAATGTGAATACCCTGGAAATTATAACAACAAATCAAATAGCCAAATATTTTGCCATAGGGTATCGATCAATGCATAATAGCAGACTTTTTGGCAAGGTAAATTTGTGTTAGAAGAGACATAATGATTGATCGTGTGCCAATTGTAGACGAACAAAAGCCGAAACGTTTGAGGAAAGCGGGGTCTCTTGGGGAGACCATTAAGAAATTTTATTTATTTTTTTGCTGCCTTCGCTCGCCGCCAAATAAATTTAATTTTTATTTACGTTCTTTATTTGTTGTTGCTGTGGGCACGCAATTTAAGTGAAGATTCGGTTTCTAGTCAAACCGGTTCGTATTCGATTGCTTTTTTTTGAGAATTTTGTAATTCTTTTTACTGATAAATTCTACTTTGGATCGGGCAGTGGGGTGTGCATAGAATCTATGTATATTATAGATCGAATTTTTAATATTTTCATTAATAATACCTCTTTAAAGAAGTTTTTAAAACTTTTTAATAAATTACTTGTTCTTAGATCTCAGTAAACTGTTACAAACTTCAGAAGAGAAGAGGATATATAGAATATAATATATACTATATATACTACTATACTATACATAGAATTTTTAATATTTTTATGAATAATACCTTTTTAAAGAACTATTTCCCATTTTTGTTTAATGAATCACTTTTTTAAAGATCTCAGTAAACTGTTATAAACTTCAGTAGAGGATAAAGAAAATCCAAAGTAAATCTTAACCCAACAAATATACAACTATTTTCTTATGAAGTGAATTATACCTAGTTAAATCCTTAAATATGTTGTCTGGCTGCCCCGATGAGCTGCCCAATCCGCACAAGAACTGTCTGCACGAGATGCTGCAGGCGCTGATCTGCAACGACAACGATGTGAAGCGATTGAACACGGAACTGCGGAACCTTCAGCTGGAGTTGCAGGCGGAACTGGAGAAGATCAACAAGGCGAACCAGAAGTGCGGTCACGAGAAGAAAGGCAAGGTGGTGTGCGAGAGCATGGAGGACATGACCAAGTTCGCCCAGCGTATTAACAGCCTGGACGAGGTGAAAGCCCATTTCACCAAGCGGAGTGAGGAGATCCGAAAGCGCCGGGACAACATCATCGTCTATGCCCGCCAGTGCCTGTATGCCTACAACGAGGAGAAGTGCAAGTTCAAGTCATTCCACGAGAACACGGTGGACTACATAAAGCGCACGGCGACCCTTTCCCAGGATGCCGAGGTGATTCGGGGCTGCGAGAAGGATATTTGCGAGCTCCACAAGCGGTTCGTTCGGGAGGTGGCCAAGCTGAAGACTTGCGAGGCGGAGCTTTTGCCCTTCTTCAAGCTGCTCAAAGAATCGGATCCGAAGGCCTACTGCGAGTGCTGCTGCTTCAAGGGCTACGATTGGATGCCGCAGGGCAAGAACCTGGAGTCCGTGGACGCGATGGCCGGCGTGATCAAGGAGCAAATGGGCGATGTCCTTCGCAGGGCCTTCGCACAGCTGCACTTGCATTCGCCGCAGGATCCGCGTGCCTTCATTGCCGCCTATCTGATGAACCTCGATCGCAACGAACAGGATATGAAGGAGAAGCTCAATATCTTTCACGCCGATCCTGCTGACAAAGTCCAGGAGCTCTCGGATCCTACATACCAATGCGATAATTGTACCCCACCTCCACCTAAATAGGTGCCTTATTGGGTTATTCTTTTAGTTAACGTGACTATGATTGCATTTACCTCGAAAAATACCAAAAATTAATAATAATAAACTAACAAATCCTGGCTGATTCCTTCACAAACTTTTAATTAATTTTAAATAAAAACGCAATACATTTCAGATATATGATTTTGGCTTAAAAGTAATAGTACACGTACACTAGGTATATTTAATCCTTGGGTTTTTGCTTTACAAAGGAAATCACATTTAGAGCTGTTATTAATCTTATATATTCGGTTTGCATGGCCTTTTAAGATCGGTTAAACAATGCAGCTCGAATCCAAATACATTTATGTGTGAATGGTATATGGGGTATTTAGAATTTACTTCTTGCGGCGATTACCGCGCCTGGCGTTCGGCTCAGGCTCCTTTTCGCCAATTCCAGTGATGGAGGCGCCAGCCAGCTCCGAGTTGGCCATCTTCTGCTGATTGTCCAGAAAGAACATGACGTCGCGCAGCTGCTCCTTTAGGTCGGTGACCTCGGCGTCGTGATTGTGCTTGAACTCGTTGTACTGCTGCTCCAAGATCTTGTATTTGCCGTGCCAGGAGCTCTGATTGGTCTGCAGTGCTTTGGACAACTCACGCTCCTCGTTTAGTTGCTTCTGCACCTCCTTTAGCCTGAATGAGTAATGGTTTATATTAGCTACTCTTTAAGTGACATTCCATTTACTTACTTGGTTGAATGCTGGGCCAGTTTGCGCTCCAGGTTAACCTTCTCCTTCTGCATGGTCTGCTGCAGCTGTTGCAGTTCGGTGACCTCTGTCTTCGCCTCGCTGGCGTTCGCCTTGAAGCTCTGCCACTCCTGCTCCAGCCTCTCCATCCGCTCCTCGTAGTACTTACGCTGTGTGTCCAGCTGCGAGGTTAGCAGGTAAGTGAATTCCATCTGCATGGAGTCGATCTTCTCCTCGCGTTCGTCTTTCTCCGTTTGGGAGGCCACCAGCTTGCCGTCGGATTTGTTCTGAAACAGGCGGTGCACAAAGTTGTCGCCGGCATAGTCCCAAACACTCGAGGTGCCCAACTGCATGGCGAAGGTGTGATTGGTGGCCCGGTAGTGGGCGGCAGCATGTCCCCCCTGGTAGCGTCCGCAACCTACGTGTCCGCAGATCAGGCAGATCCACAGCGAATCGGTGCCCTCGCACTCCATGCAAACGGAATCTTCCACCAGCTCGGGGGTCTGCACATGGCGGCAGACGGGACAGGTGGAGTCGCCCCACTTCATCAAGCAGCTGGCGTGAAAGGCGTGGTTGCACAAGATGGTCAGCACTCCATCCACACTCTCGTCCATGCGCTCCAGGCAAACTGGACAGGTGGGCAGCTCGGTGTGTCCCATTGGAGGTCCTCCATGTTCGCTTCTCTCCACCGCCGAGACCCAAACCGCATGGCAAAGCGAATCGGGCTCCAAGGAGTTATAAGCAATGCCATTGTAGGACTTGTAGAACTCCAGAGCTGATTCGTTCGATCGAAATCTAAAAGAAGTGGAAAGTAAAATGGTTTAATTTAATATCTCTAGTTTCTAGGGACGCAGTAACCTACTCCAGCAGCACCATGAACTGATTGGGACTGCCATCGCGGACAATCTGGACATGCTTGATCTCCGCGTGACAGGGAGCAATGAAGTTGAGTAGATCATGGCAGTTTAGAGTGGCTGGCACGGCCAGCAGGCAGAGCTGGTTGGATGGAGCCTCCTTGATGGCCTTGCGTTCGCTAAGGAATAAGAATATCAATCATTATATTGGATAGTTTAAGGATACACAAGCAAAACCCACTTCTTCTTGTAGAGATGGATGAGACCCTTGGTCACCTCGACGATGGGATTGCCGGAGAAGTAGCCAATTTCCTGGGGAAACTTGGAGGCGGTGGCCTGCGGACCGCCCGTCTGGGTTTCATCGCCGCTCCGGGGAGTCGTCTCCCGGGAACTGCCCGCCGTGGGGCTGTTCACGTGCTGCAGGGCCGCCGCCCAGTTCATCTTGCTGCCCTCCGTGGCCTCCTGATCCTTCGGAGCACTCAGTTCCCGCGTCCAACGCTGGTTGGTGTACGTTTCGATGGTGATGTCGCGCGACTGTCGAAGTCCGCGGTCGCGTTCCCGCTCCTTGAGCACTCGGGGATTGGTGGGATGTTCGGCGGACACGGCTCCCTCGGAATCTATTAAAAATAATTCTGTTGAAATCCATCTTCTTTGTCTGCTGCACTTTTTATTCCAGATTTTACCTGCACTGGGCTCCAAATCCGTTTCGATCTTGATCACACACAACGAAATGTTTTCTAGCATTACACAGGCATAATTTGGTTAAGTTTTCATATCAAAAATGCTACCTAAAAGCGTTTAAAATGTAATTTTCAGTGTTTTTTGTTTTGTGTGGGTGATGAGTTTGTTGTTTTCCTAGGTGAACTGGTTCGCTCGGAGCGTTAACCTATCGAGAATCGCCCGCGGAACTAGTTAAGCTAAACAATCGCCTATCGATAACGCTTACCAACACTGATTGTAACGTACCAGGATTTAAATCCATCGGAATTCAAAAATTCAAATTGTATTTCCGGTTTACAAGAGCAGCATTGAAAAACTTTAAGATTTTCTGTGACAATAGAAGAAAGGAATAGTTTTTTGGTTTTAAAAAAAGGGGGAGGAAAATAGGTTGGAAAAAGTGAAAGTAAAAGTGGTTTTAAATAAGCTGTGAAGTAACATACAACTTGTCGGCTTCGCTTGGCCTCTTCGGCTTGTCGGCCACTTCGGCTCCGCTTGGCGAGTTGGCCAAAACAAAGCCAGTACGTTGCTACAGCTGCTGCGATTCGGACGTGGTCGGTAAGCCAGAGTTGCGCCCGCGATTTGGGCCATAACAAAAACACGTTTACGAAACATACGTCGTCGTCATCTCGTTCTGTCCCGCGCGCGTAAAACCAAGTCGAAAGAGAAGCGGAACAAAAGGTTGGCAGCAAAACAAACCGAAAGCAAAAGTGAGTGCAATATTGGGGATAGTTTTTTGTGATTTCTTGTGATTTTATTATTACTGTTGCGTTGCTGCAGCAACCGTGAACTGTGGCCGTAATACACACAACAAATTGATCACCATAAGCGCGGCTGGCCAAAGTGGATTGTAATTGCAATTACCCAGATTGGACCACAAAATACATTTGACCGCACACACATGCAGTATTAAATGTGTGGCGGCGCCCGTAAAAATGGCCATCGCAAGGAGTCATTCTATTGATTTTCGGCATTATTTATTAACGGGCTCAACCATAAAACTGCTTACAAAATTCGCAACTTCCTCACCTTTTTCGAAACCACTCTTATATGCTAACAAACAAGACCTGACATCAAAAACTAACGCGGGTACACATAGAGAAATGTAATATTGCCATATTGATTAGATTTTAAATGAAAATTTATTGGTAAAATATTAGTGCCATAATTTTAATGTGTAAAGGATTTTTTTAAACTTAAATGTAAAATTTGTTTTATTAGCAAACCTTAAATAATTAAATTGGAAGCCAACTAATAGTACCTCATTACTACGCCTTATTACCCGCCTTTTTGTGCAGTGCATGCGTGTGTGAGAACGTCAGCACATTTCTGGGCTGTTGCTGACAGCTGCCAAGTGCCAGGAGCTTGTCGTCAACAAGTCTATCAAAAGCACGTTTGTCATTTTTGTTGCAGTCGCCCTAGCCGGCAGGTGGCGCCACCACACTGGCCACCCACCCACTCCACCGCCCACTCAACCACCCACCCACTTGTCTGACTGACTATGTAAAATGTGTGCCAGTGTGTGTCTGAGAGCTGCTTTTGTGTTCGCCAATTTGAAGTTTGTTTGAAACTACATATATTGCTCCCTCCCTCTCCCTCCCTCCGCTGACATGCACTTCCACATCCACATCCATCCCGCTCTTACGTTGAGCACTTTGCCATTTTCATTTGCATTTTCGCCGTCCCGCTTTCCGTCGTCTGGCGAAAATCAATTGTTGTATGCAATAAACGCAAGACGTAGCGAGCGCTGCCAACCAGTTTTTGCAGCGGAGCCAAAATCCGTTTTTCAGTTTACATAAACACTCGGCCAGAGCTTGAGTTTAACTTTGAAAAAGTTTGCAAAACCACCGCTTTTTTTCGCTCGGCTTCTATTAAATTATATACATTTTATGTACAAAGATCTAGACTATTTCCTATATAACCCCAATTAAGTTTCTGTATATAACTAAATTGAATAAATTGCTTCTGTCCAATTTTTTTTTACTTTAATAAGGCTAAATTGCTAAACATTTTTTTAGAATTATTAAAATAAAAAAATATTCTTCTTCATTTCATTTTTATTACTTAAATTTGAATTGCTATTATACAATTTTCTTTCTGTTTTTCAAATGTATATCCTGCTTATCATGGAAATCAATTGATTATTCAAAGATTTTTTTTCAATTTTAATAATTTGTAGGTAATTTAAAAAGCAATTTCTTACTTTAAACAAAGTGTGGTTAACCACACCTTTTATGAAAAAGAAAAGACTAATAAATACTTAATTTATTTATCTGGGTTATAATTATCCTGTGTGTTCCAAAAGATAATTAAATATTAAAGCCGTTTTCCTGGGAATATTTAATAAAGCTTTAAGAAGTTTATGATGCTTGAAATTCAATAACAGAAGAAAACTTAACATATTTATTTGTGATAAGAGATATAAAGACACAAATAAAAGTATTTATTGTTCAAAATAAAGAAAACACTCCACTTTGTGCTTTAAATTGTATCTGAATATCGTTTTTCCCAGTTTGCAACTGGATTTAAAGACTTCAGAATGGTGTTAAATCTAAAGTAGCAACAAGAATCTTAGTTGACTTTAAAGCTGAGCTTCAGTTTACATTTCACACCTCATACCACCACCCACCGCCCACGAGTAACCCCTCTGTCGACGCCGACTGCGCTGCTGTTGCTTTATTCAAATTGAGTTGTTGTTTATTCATGCATTTGTTGCACTTCCCTACGG